GCAGTATACCTATGCAACAACCTACCACCTATAACTCAACACACACTACTGTGTTGGTTATCAGTCGAGTGTAATTTGATTATTCGCAAGTGAATAAGCAATGTTGAAAAGAGGGAAAAAGTCGTCGCGACTAAAAATATATTCTCAAAGGGGAATCCAGCCGGCTTGTCGCGACGAGAAACGCAAGCACACGCTTGTATACGTGCTTTGGGCGTTGCGCGAGCCATAAGCACCGCACCGACAACGAAGACGGGCTTGTTTCGATCTCGTCGTCGTCCTCCTTCTCCGTTCTCCTGTCGGCGTGCTGCACTTTCCAAGTTATGAAAGTTATGATGAAAGCAGCCTTCTGCCTCCTTCTCCGCACTCCGCTCGCGAGTAAGGCACAAGCGCATGTACATACAGGTACGCGTGGGACGACACGGGGTCTTTGGGTGATTACGGAAATTGCTGTTATTTAAAAGCCAAGGCGTACGAGCACGATGACGCATGTTTATCCTTTGGCGGGTTGATGAACTTTGCTGGCTGTCATTTTTTCGCCACGACTCTCCGGCCATTTGGATGGATTAATTTTTCTTGGTGCGCGGAATAAAAGGTGGCACCGGGCGTTCGGGTGGATGTGTTTTTGCGAGAGCCACACAGGGGTAATTATTGGCTGTTTGGAAAATTATTGCAACAAAAGAAGAAAAATACAAGGATGAAATCATTCGTCGCACTCGTTGGTGAACTGCAGTGATTCAGTTTTTCCTCTGGCATGGCTACGGCTTTTGTTTCCCCGTGAGCGTGTAAATATTCAGAAAGAAAATTTACAAACTGAAACACCTTACCCCATGTGGCTGTAAATGACGATATTTTGTGTTTTTTCAGGACTTTAAATCGGAAGCTTGAGGAAGTTCAATGATTTTCTCAAAAATCCAGGGAAATGAGCCATGAAACTATCAACAGAGTGTCAGCTGACAACGGCGCGAATTTTTTCACCATCTTCATCCACAAATTTTTTTCATCTATGAAATTTCAACTCTTAATACATGCAAGCTCGTAAGAATAGCAATCAATTTGATTTATAAAATTTGTGATCAAACATTTTAAAAAAATATGCCCATTCAGTAGTTCCCTGACACTATTGTTGAAAGTTTTACTGCTTTCTCTGCATTTGAGAAAACCATTGAAACCCTCCTTATACAGTATACGCTCGCAACTGAATCACAGCGTGTTTGGCACCGTTATCGAGACCCCTTTCGGTCGCAAGGCACGTGCCTCGTGCGTATACTTCCTCCCGAGCTCGTTGCCGAATTTCACGCAGCACCACAACCAAAACCCACGCAATCAGGGGCGAGATGGACACCGTCTGTTTTTTTTTTTTTTTTTTCCACCGAAGCGAGGTGTGTGTACAAAGAAGGAATTTCCCGCGATCCGAACGTTGCTATGGGAACGGTGCTGCGATGTGCACACGAAACTTTTATGTACCGCGCGTGGGTGACGTAACGGGCTTGTGTGCCGAATTTCTTTTATTTCGTACGCAACCCCTCACTTTTTTTTTTTTTTTTTTTTTTTGTTGCTGGGAACATTGGACGACGGATTGCCGTCAAATGTTTGAAGTTCGGGATATTTGAACGATACCGAGAAAATGACGTATCGGAATTTTTGGCGTGTAAAAATTTATTCACATCTATCGCGCTGTGTACCCATGTGTGCCCATAATGTATTTTGCGTCAACATTTTCTTACCGCGAAATAGATATGTAGTGATTACAATTGATCGAAAAATGTTTCACGAGGTTCGTAGATAACTATCTCACGGATTTTCAATAAAATCAAAGAAGCCCCACGTGCTCGCCAACCTTTCGTATATCCCACGTAGAGTGGCGCGGCTCATCGTTTTTTATTGTCGCGCCATATGCTTCTGAAGGTATATAGTTTTGTTCGCCGGTTCTCGTACGGTTTTTCCCGAAAACTCAGGTCCGAGAATTTCTTTTTATTTTCCATTCGCTCGCACTCGTCGGAAAAGCGTGCGCGTCCAACGTGTGGATCTTTTTTTTTTTTTTTTTTTTTTACGCTGGGCGTCTCCGGTGAATTTATTTATTCACGGTTATTAATTTTAGCGAGACTTTTTGAGGTGCATGACCTGTTGTTTTATGTGGATCAATTTTTGTCGTACGTTTAATCCAATTTACTTTTTTTTTCACAGGCTTTTTCTAAAAGATTTTACGACGAGATGATAAAAAACGTGTAATAGTGTTGTACCCTTTTAGGGCGCTATTGATTAACTATCCTTGAGAGACGACAATTTTTTGTTTCTGATAAAAAAAATACAAAATTTATTTGCAAAATAGATTGGTTGACAGTACAAGTGTTTCCGAGAAGTAAAAGTTTCCAGAACAACATTGACGTGATTCACCGCAGTTATACTTTTATAATCATGCAAACATCTCTCCTCGGTGAGCTTCGTAATAATTTGTTTTACCCACATTGAGTATTCGGAGCTTACGAAATGTGGGAAAATTTGCTCGAGTACGATTCATAAGATCATTGATAAGATAATCTAAAAGCGTAGGTGGAAGAAAACCATTTTTACATGAAACTTTTAATTTGTATTGTAACTTAAAGTAAACTGTAAAAAAAATTGTTTACTCTGCACGACACGGTATACACGACGTGTTTATTGCATGCCTTACGTAAAACAGCGTAAAGCAAACCATATTTACCCAGGACATGGATTTATTGCTGTACTTACAAAAATTAATCCTATGTACATAAGGCTGCGAGACGATGTTTGAAAATATTGTCTTTGTTCTTTCAAGTGGGAGTTGGTATAGAGACCGTTTCTACGTGCACATGCTTATAGTCCAGCAACTTCTTTACACACCACTGTGCACGTCGATGTTTATTTATTCATGTTGTTGTTTTAAAAAAAAAGTATGATTTACAACGTTATGCGATACTTGTATCAATGAGTTATTTTTTAATATCGAAAATTGCCTTCAATCGAGAAAAAAGTGTGTACCCACATTGTATTTACTTGGTTTGTCGGCAATGTCAAATTTATAATGAGCCCAACTAGCCTCTTGGAACGACACTCATTTTGGTATTCCGCTGCTTTGAGAGCAAAATGTCAATTGCGAACATGACATATACTTCAAGGCCGAAAAAAACTCGACATCCAGAAGTGAGAGTGATTCAACGGTAGGAAAAAACTTTTGCGTAACCTTCGATTTTTTCCCGATCCCCAAACTATAAAAAAAAAAAAAAAACTTTTTTCAATCAAACTCACGCGGTAGATCAAGTGTGAGAGTGCATCGTTAAAAACTTACGGATACACCTAGTTTACAATCACGAGTTCAACGACGAGTCATACCAGTGTAGAAGAAACAATAGGTGATTGCACGCGCATTATATTTTATTTATGAACGCGGCGTACATTACTCTTGAATTTCAAGCAAACTTGAATCATACAAAGTTTAATTACAAAAATAATCGTGCCACAATGATTATCGATCGTTATCTTGGCAGTCGATTTGCTTATGCGTATCTCTTTGTATGAATTTAATAACATCGCAGAATATTGTCGTATTTTTTTTTTTTTTTTTTTTTTATAAATACGTCAGTGTACCGACTTCTTTCAGATATAGTTACAATTTGCCTTTTCCCTTGACTACTATTTTTAGATACGTGCACAGAAATGTTCATATTTGTATAAAAACTTATTGAATGCTGAAGAGAGTGATTGAAACAAATGCTCATGTTTCATCAGAACACGATGTTGGGCCGTGATCGATGATAAAAAAAAATATATGTGTACCTCTCGCAAAAGTTTGCCAATCCAAGCGTACCAAGAATCGTAAAGTATCATTACGATGGTGATTGACGACGTTGTAATTGGACACAATGAGTTTCGTTTTATGTTTTACAATTTATAAAATCCGCGTTTTAACTTTATACCTATAAAATAGACTTGGACACGATTTTGTGACTGATTTCAAAGTACTGAGAAATAAAATTTTGCTCCGACAGTTCAGTGCATCGTTTTTACTGTAGAACTTTTTTTTATCGTCACTTTTATCCATAACAATGCTCCGCTGAATTTTTCCAATGAAAAATATTTCTACGCATACACTTGGACACATTGTTTTGTGAATTTATCTTATAATGCACTATAAAAACTTTGTTAATTACTGCGTTGTAAACAGAAGTAAGAAAAATTATAAATAATGCATTTTATTGCCAAAAAAAAAAAAAAAAAAAAAAAAAAAAAAATTTTTTTTTAAAAAAAAAAAAAAAAAAAAAAAAAAAAAACTATGATCACAAACTATTTGAAACAATATCGATAGCCAAGTCTAATTAAAAAAAGAACCACTGAAATTTCTAACGATGCAGCGTACCAAGGCATTATTCAACATATGTATCACTTTCATTTTTAAATTACATAAAGCTCGGAGTGCGCGGTAAACGAGATCCACATGCTTGCACCGCCTTATGCATTATTAATCACATGTATCGTATACAATATAACTAATGCAATAATTCCATCAGCTTCCTTTCATTAATTTTTTTTTTTTTTTTTTTTTTTCAACTACACCTTTAGTACCTCGAAAGTTAGAAATCAAACTCATCCACGCACGTAGCGCTACACGAACCAAAAAAAAAAAAAATTTGTGATTCAAAGGAAAAAAAAAATAGGCACCTACTACCGATCGTATCCCAGCGCGAATACTTAATTGTCACACGAGCCGGGAAAAAAAAAAAACTCGCGTCTCCCGTGATTTCTCACGCAGAGCCGCCCCGTTCTCCCATCGAGCAGAGCCTCACGGAACAATGATAAATCTTTCCCAGGAGAGGAGTAACGCGCAGACACCTGCTCGAGGCGTCGGGTATACAACCGCGAAGGAGGAAACGCAAAGGCCATTGTATGTGTACTAGTTGGGTTGGAAGTAAAAAAAAAAAAAGATGAAGGTTTCACACTAAACTCGGGAGCAACAATACGCTATATAACGTATATATACTCACTCGGGTCTGTATCGTGTGCGTGTCTGGTTTATTTTGTCTCCCTTCCACGTCGAGTCTCCAAGGCTGCGATCAGACTTACGGCGAGGACCGGCTGTAGCACTGTTTACCTCTACGTCGCGACGCGCTATGAAAAGCAAGAAAAAAAAAAATTATCCGTTGATAACACACGCGGAAGAGTTATCCAATTGATCAGCGGATGACTCACGGATTTGCGGATGATCTTAACTTCGGTACTTTACAGATGGAAGATACGGGCGCACACTGTAATCTCTGCCGATCTCCAACTGTGTACATCACTCATCACGATAAAAATCCCTTACGTGTTTCCGAAAAGGTGGAGGAAGGGGAAAGACAAATCTGCTCGAAATGAATAAAAATTTTACTTTAAACGAGGAGAAAGATTAAAAAAACAAATAGTCACTCGCACTCGCGGCACCTTCTCAACTCTAATACTACTGTGTACACAAATACAGGCTGCCTCCACTTGGTACTCTCGACGTCCGTCACCGCTCTGACCCGCTCACCGTCGTCCCACGCATTGTTTTTTTTTTTAATTCAACAATTGAACACCTGTTTTCTCGAACGTGTATTTGTATATATTTTTATACCCAAGAAGCAGAGTCACCGTATACTCGTATACACACAGCGCGACTCTGCCGAGCTAGTATACTCTCGAGGATACGCTCGGTCGCTGCACTGCGGCGGCCCCGCGATCGAGAAAGGCCCCCTCGAGTCCAAGGTGCTCTTGGGAGGGGGTGAGAGAACCTGGTGGGGGGCCCTTACGACGCTGTCCTCTCGGGACTTTTTTCTTTTTTTTTTTTTTTTTTTTTGACGGATCCAAAAGTATTTTTGATCTACCGATCTTTATTTCGGGTTGCGGTATAATTAGCGTCGTATATATTGACGCGAAGATACGTTCGTTGCTGTTTTTTTTTTTTTTTTCTATTTTAGTCTCGAATGGGCGGTCATTGTTTCCGAATCGACAAGTCCGCCCACGCACCATACATGGTACCCGAGTACAGGGACCCGTGCTGAAATCGGTTAACTCTCGCGAACAGCCAGCGTGGAGAGGTCAGTTTGCTCCAAAGTGTGGTGATGCTTGTGCCACATGCATATGCGAGATTATACGTGTATATACATACGTATACACAAGAATAAAAGGAGAAGGAGGTGTTGAAAGAACGAAAGAGAGGAACGCTCGGGCGAACTGTATAGTTACACGAAAGAGAGGGAGATGAGAGGCGAGAGCAACCGGTTCAGGATCGTACGTAGCGGTTGGGATTGCCTTGTCCTTCTCCTTTCGAATACCTATGGTAAATGGAAGACAATGATTATGGCGCTGAAATCACAAAACATGTATGTATATATAACAAGTGTGTATACGTAAAATCGGCAATCAAACCATGCAGAGTTACATAAAAGGCCTTGTGGAATACACCTGATGCTCGCAGGAGGAATTCGTTACGTATTTGTGGAAAATATATTACACGCGTGTGCATAAATAATTTTACTGCATCATATAAATATTATATTATCGCGTACAGTGGAGGAATGAATACAGGAGGCGTTCGCGTAACGCGCATCCACACACACGTGTACCTATATATATGTAGGCGCTTCTCTCGCGGACGTATATAAATATATATACTGCAAGAGCTCCATTGTATGTGTTATGTAAGTGCTGCATGTGTAACTATACATTATAGTGCGCATCGACAGGTGAATGGGGAAGAATAACATTTTATGCGCGCTCGCGAGAGCGAGAAATTCCCATTGCAAGTGCACCAACCGGGAGGGGGGGGTTCCTAAATGGGATGAGGCTCTCTATCTGCTACGAGTATCTGTAGTAGCTCCGTATACGGTTTGTATACAGCCGATGTTTCGGCTTTTACCGATCATTTGCGCGCCCGGTGAAACGTGTTCCGTGCAAATGTTGGGCTTGTTTGTTCCAAGGAGTGGGTATATTTAATGACGAGCATCAGGTGCTGTTCAACGCGAATTGATTTCAACCCGACCTACGCTATTGTTCTATTTTCTTTTTTCGTTTCTTGCCGATCGCGGCTGCACCCGATTATTTCAATAATCGCACCGTATACCGATCTATTTCCCATACACTCGGTAATTACGTAGCAAGTCCAACAACCGAGACTTCCATCGATGTATATACCTACTTGAAATACACTTTTCTGCTTAAAGAGACCGGTATAAGGTTTTTCCGTATCGTCATTGTTTGTTTATTCATCTCAATATAATCACTTCGCGTGAAATAACATATGACGAAAAGAATTCAACAAAACAAGCGATTTAAGATTAAATAAGTGAAGGTCATTCGTTCCCTCGCGTATGGGCCTTTCCCTCATTTCACTTGGATATACAATACTTACGCTCGCCACCTTATGCCCCGTCTCTTTTTGTATTCTCAGTTAAATACGAGCTTATGTGTGTATAATATACGCTTATTACACATACATAGATTCACGCGCGTTTGTTTTTATTGAAAACACAGAGTACCTATACATCTATACCTCGTACGTGACGCCCTAATGGTAAATCGCAAAAAGATATAGCGCTACCCGTATATAGGTATGGAAGTGCGCTCAAAAAAACTTTTAGGTGTGGGAAAAGCGGCTAAAATGTTGTGTTTGTGGGGTTTACGTTTGTGTGGCTGTAGTTGCGCGTGTGGGTGATGGGTTGGATATGTTGGATCGGCCGATTGTTTCGGGGCTGGTGAAAGATATAACGCTTAATTGATTCCCCCCGTTTGTCGGTTGAATGCGTTGCGTATTTGCAGCTCTGGTCTGGTGAGTCCCTTTTTTTTTCATTCAATTGAACGGAGCAAGTGATAATTATTTTTTTGTGCACTTTAATTGCTGGATCACGATTTAAATTAGTTGCGAAAGTACAGTGTTTCTATAGAGCTGATACATTAAATGTATTCCATATGCTTGATCGTACTCGAGTATCGCTGAAGTTGGTAATAAACATAGTGTCATTTATTTATTTATATGAATTGCGAAATAATCGCCGCTCATCTATAGCCTTCTTTTGAATAAATCATGCATTAATATAGCGATTATTACAACATATCATTGCGTTATAATAATATTAAACCTTGTACTGGTATGTGTGTGCGTGTGTATTAATGTCATCATTGTTGTGAATAACACATTTATTTGACCCAATTGTTGAAATATTTCAATTAAATTCAACGACATCGAGCTCAACCCACTCGATTCTCAACAATAAAACAGTAGTATATGTACGCGAGGTGACGTTTAGTGTCCTTACATTGGGAAAGAAAAAAAAAAGACATCCGGCATGCTCGTGATACCAAACGAAACAAGACCCAAAACAGCTCAATGTCGGAAAGTCCCGAGCGAGCGTCGTAACTTTTCCGGTATGAGTCAGCGCAGGGTTCAGTACTCGCGGCCAAGGATGTCTCTCGGTGCAATTGAAGGGGGTGTGAATATATATATATGGGAGAACAAAAAAAGAGGCTTGAAACTGCGGCAAAATGTGTAAGACGAGAGCGGGGAAGGTGCTCCGACGCCGGTGCCAAGGTAAAGGCGCGCGCGTGAACGTACAGAGAGAGGAACTCGAGGTAATCGGCGGTGCGCTTTTTTTTTTTTTTTTGCGTACGTATACACGCGCCCGCGTGTACGTGTACACGTTGCGGAATTTTTGCTGTCGTTGCATTTGCTACGCGGTCGCGTGATATTTTCGCAACGCAGATATACATATATATTGCGCGTATAATCACCGGGTATGCGTTGACACGGTCTTTTCTTTTTTTTTCATCTGGAACGTCTTGAATCTTTTTTTCTTTGTCGCTCGTGCACTACGGTTCCGTGAAAGTATTATCTTTTCCTCGATTCCCGCGCGACAAGGGCTATTTTAACAATCTCTCAGTCCCTCCCACTCACTTTTACTTACGTATATGCATAATATACTCCTCGTATGAGAAACGATACAAAGGCCTGTCTCTATCTCTTATTTTGACAACCTGACCCTTTACATCCCTTTACGTATATTGGCTTTGCGTTAGGATTTGTTTTTTCATTTTGGATTTTAGGAGCAACGTATATACGTTACGAAGAATATTTGGAAGAAGGTTCATTCCATCGCGTAAACGATTCACAAAGTGTACGGTTTCATGTACCAACGAAGAGTATAAATTGGTAAATTTTGATGCATTTTTTGCTTTGGTCAGGGTAAGAATTAAATTTTTATCAAAAGTACACGATACTAAAAGAGGAACGATGTTTTTTTTATGTCAATCAACTCGTGCCTGCCGATCTTTGCTATTTTCAGTGAATTTCACTTCGATATTCGATTCTGGGTCTCCAAAGCAACTATACCTGCCATCTTCAAAGATAATCTATTGTCTATACCATTCAACTAGACGTCCCATGAATAAATTAAAAGAAAGGCATTCGTCGGTTCCCCCCGACTCGACCGATTTCCGTCTAGCCGCAGTAAACTCCCACCCACACATCAAGAATCGTTAATTCAAGTCCTCACCCTTCCCACTTTTCCCACTGTAAGACACAGGCAAAGGAAGAAAAAAAAGAAAAAAAAAAAAAAAAAAAAAAAAAAAAAAAAAAANAACTCCCACCCACACATCAAGAATCGTTAATTCAAGTCCTCACCCTTCCCACTTTTCCCACTGTAAGACACAGGCAAAGGAAGAAAAAAAAGAAAAAAAAAAAAAAAAAAAAGAAAAAAAATAGACACAGGTCACGAAACGCCGATACCACTCGGATAAATTGGAGTTCACCGAGAGAAAATTGTCTGTTGGCCTAATACTCGCTACCGAAACTACATCGAGGTGGGGCACATGCCGATAGCGTCGCTCCTTGCCTCGTAATATACCGTTCACCGGCCAACTCTCTCTCGCGTTTTATTCGAGCCGCTTATGTATATACATATATATTTAATATTCCCGAGCCGCTTTCCCCCCCGTTATTACGTGCCTCGTGGGTACATGTATATAATATAGACTCATAGGCTGGCTTACGGGACATTCCGGCTCCGTATGGCCCGCAATCGCTTGTCTTTTTACAAAGACTCTCCCTATATTTTACACTGCACGTGTTGCGCTCTTATCGCGTAATATACGGAATTTATTGGCCCCCGAATTTTCATGATTCGGTTCCCCTTTTTGATTCATATGCGTATAACGATCGAGCCGTTATTGGCGTTAGATTCGGGCTCTAAGGTATTGTAATTCCAAAAGTCACGAGTATAATAATGTACATATACGTTCGGGATACCTCAACGAGTAACAAAAAGTGCCTTCACCTATAAAATCAAATTAAAATCTAATTTTTCTCTCATACTAAGGAATCACATATATTACAGTCGAGCGATCGTGTTTGCACGTACATATATTTATTACTTTTTTCTTGTACGCTCCCACAAAGTTGAGTACTGTCGATTGTGCATTTGATAAGGCAAATAATTCTCTGTAACGTGCTATAGTATGTGGGTAATTTAATATAGATGGTCCTGCGATGGGCAAGGATTACTCGCGCGAGTGGAATTTTACAATGATACGTGTATATGTGCACTTATCGTTTTGCGATTATCCGCTTGCAACGATGAAAAAAAAAAAAAAAGAAAAAAAAAAGGGCAGCTGTTTGAGGTAAAGGTCGATTGCAAAACGATCCATCGAAAAACAATAATCCCCTTGTATGTACAAACGCCTGTTGCGTGGACTGGTCGATCAACCGTTTCTCGCGAAACAAAGGGGTACATCCAGCTTTGCTGATAAAACATTCAAAACTCGCTCGTCGGCAAAAACAAACGGAAGATAAATAAAAAAAAAGAAAAAGAAATTTTACTCGTAGTGCCATACATACCAGCAACTAGCCATAGAATCAAACAAAGTCCTATACGTGGAATCGATTGGTGCGTTGCGATGCATGTGTAAACAAGAAGAGGAACAAATGAGCCCTGACGTAATGTACAGAATCGAATAAGTGGCGGTAACTCTTGTGCCTATACTATGACTATATGTATACAAGCCGGGTCCAAGAGGGTTCGACAACCGCGAGCCACCGAGTGACAGGTTGGTGTATATATTTTATTCGGCACCTGCGCGCGGGTCTCTCTTCTCGATGGCCTTTTTTTTTGCCTTTTCGCACATACATATGGTATAATTAGGTAGACGAGGAGAAGGTAAGATACGTTGCATGGAAACGCCTGTTTATGACCACCTAAAGTGTATAAAATATTCAGTTAGGGAATTATAATTTATTCAATCGTGAGTGATTTCGGCGTTAAAATATTCAAGAAGTCTTCAATTTTTATTTTTAATACTCTTGTAGTGTATTTTTAGTCGCATTCGCCATACATTATTGAAATTCAGTGTATGACCATTACGTGAACGAAATGGCTATTGCACTTACGGCGTTGTACATCATATTTTTATTCGCTGCGTATATATTTTTGTGCGTTTGCTTGTCAATTATGTATGAAATAAATCATTAATTATAATGTAGGAAACTGGTAAATTAAAATTGAAAACATTAACAGATTTTCCACTTGTCAGTTCTCGATTCTACAACCCGTTCAGGGATTTTAGTACAGTATTTATATACATGTGCAAGGATAAATACTCTGTATTTTGTTACATCGATCGCGTATCACTCGATAAACAAACAAAAGACATCGAGGGGGAGGGGGTACTAGTCCTTACACCTTTTACCCGGTGGATATAGCGTGACGTTTAAGTTTCACATTATTGCGATAGGTTTCGAGTGATTCCCAAAATACCAAAACTCCATCCAGGTGGAATAAAAATGTTCAAACCCGTAACATTTGCCGCGCTTCGGGCTTTCCACAGCTCGATATCCCGTAGCAATCTCAGCGTCCGGCCAGCCAAAACCGCAGTACCGTCCGTGGGAATTCCAGTGGCCGCATGCTCGTCTTGCCAGACTTTTTAATCTCCGTTTGTATAGTAGTAGTGGTGGTGGTGAAATTGTAATTATGTTGACTGACCGTGCGAAAAATGCATTTATTCTTGCCGATCCCGAAAATTTTCGCTCTTTACATATACGTGTGACTTTTGATCAGGAATGTGTAATATTTTGTTAATATTATTCAATGCTTTTTTGATGTTGGGTTTGATTTTATTAAACATTCATGTTTCTTACATCCAAGCTCTTGAATTTTATTACATAGACAATATAGATAGAGCGATAATACTCGTAGTACAGTTGGAAAAAGGCGCAATAAAATGATTATTGTTTCTGTTGTTTAAAAATTCGGTAACATCACGACTTCGTGACTCTATTTTCCCCACTCTAGGATTATTGGTTGAGTTGAACGTATATTTTATGATCAGAAAAAAACAAACCGTGAAAATAATTGTGCATAAACATGTGCATATTATCGTCACACGTGGAGAAACTCAGTTGACTTTAAAAATTTTTTCAAGTAAAACGTCAAAGCTATGCCTTCGAGATCACTCGTCACTTTTATCATACTCAGCTTTAGCTGTGTCCCATTGGACATTAGCCTCCTATGCATCGTAAGTTCAACAAGTAAAATTTAATTAGTATAAATTAAAAACCGCTAACTTTTCACACGTACTATATTCACTTGGTAATTGAATGTAATCTGGGTCACTGCGAATCAAACAACAGTCATGGTTCTGTTTGAATAAAAAAATCGTAATGTATACCTACTGCTTTCTTTATTGGATTTTCTTGCAGTGCCTCTAGAATACATGAAAAATCTTCATACCTGTCAAATGAGCAGAAAAACTTTTCTCTCGAGCACTTGTAACTTCAATCGTGTAGCAAAAAAAAAAAAAAAAAAAAAAAAAAAAATTCCCACAGTTTCCATACACCAGCATCTTCGAGTCAATCACGGTAGAAGCCACCCCCACCTCACCTCAAGAAGGCATGGCAGTCAAAAGTCTGTTCGACGAACTGAAGCAGCACACGGAAAACGCGTACAACGAGGCGCGTGACAACTGGAAGAGACTGAAGCTCGACCTCCTGAGGGGAATATCCATCGGCGAGACGAACCACGCGATAGCCAAAAACAAAATGTTGAAGCTTATCAGGAGGGTCGAAAGGGCTTACCGGAAAATCATGAACGGAACCGATGAAAATTATTACACCTTTGCTGGGCTCTACGCCGAATTGACGAACGAAATTCGGCATTTTGGTAATCGCGGAGCCAAGACTTACCTAAAATTGCGGGAGCTGCTCTACTACGTCAAACAAAACGTCGCTGTTATGAAGGTAAGCTCCGCATTTTCAAGAAATACTATACATTGGTCCTTACGCAGAATTTTTTACTTTACCCCGCGTTGCAGGGGAGAAACATGTACACCGAACTAAACCAGCTGGAGACCCAGTGGGAGCCGATGAAGTCGAGGTGGGACGATTTCACGATCCTCTTGATCAGAGGCATCGATCGATCGGACAATCCAACTGCCCACATCGCGGTGAAGGAGTTACTGTCCCAAGTAAGGGCTGCTTTCGATTCGATAGTTTTCAGGCGTTACAATAACTACGAAGATTTCGATCGGGCGTACGGTGAACTGATGAAAATCTCGGATGACGTGAAAAAACACCTTAACATAGAGGAAATCACTATCTCCTTGGAAGCGTTTGGCTCGTTCGTGCAAAGGTACAGGGAATACGTGGATAACTCTCAACAACTCGTTTCATCGACTCGTGATGCCTATGCGAGGAAAAACTTGTTAGACGCGGCGAATGCCATTCTCCGCGTTATTTAACCCAATGGTGAATAAAACAATTTTCACCAAACCATTAATTTCGACAAAGATTCCAGATACGTATAACAAATAACTTTCATGATCCCCGCATCCTCTGTATCGGTAAACTCGGGCGTACCGATACTTTTCTATACTCGAAAAAAAAAAAAAAAAAAAAAAAGGGTTTCATATCGGGAGGGGAAATCAAGTGTTGAAAACAAAAACAAAAAAGATCACCTCTGCTAGCTGCCAAAAGCAATATCAAAGCCCCCTGGTCCGGTTGCGCACTTTTTCTCCCTTCGATCCGCAGCACGTGCTATATATCCTCGCCACTTTGGCTCCAAACGTTTCCTAAATCAACACAAACGCGCGCACATACATACGCCTACGATGTGGGGTTGAAAGATCACATACATCCGATCGGTGAAAAAAAGGCGTCCCTATATGCACCACCCGAGCAAAACTGAGTACACCAATCACGAATTCCCGAATTCAAGTATACCACCGTGTAAGTATGGTAAGGTCTTACAAATGAGCGTCCGCGGCAGTGGCCAGCCACTTGACTGCCGGTGGCCGATCGGCTCGACAGGTATAACCGCTCGCTTTCGCAGGAGGTGGAGAAGGAAGGCTCGCTGGCATTCAGATGTATACATGTGTATATAGGTGTACATATAATGTACGGAGAAAGAGGTGACGGCCTATAGGTGCACACATGGGGCCCCGTTCGGTCTCGTGTGTAGCACACTTACGAAATCGACTCGCGAGCCACCGTGGTCGCATTATAAGCAGCCCATTGGGGGCTCGATGTGGGTACGTGCCATGGTATATAGTATATAGGGGGGGGGGGGCTATAGAAAGACAGAGAGAGAGAGAGACGAGCGTGCGTGTGGGTATACGTCTAGATACGCGCGATTGAGGTCGTGCGCCGGCTATATGTGTACTTTACGCTGCCTGTACTGTATACTACCGATCGTAAAAATAAAAGAAGAAAACAGAGACAAGCGGACGTACGATCGATCGGCTCTTTTTTCTCCCTCTCTCGTTGGTGTGCACGACCTTATGTATGTTTTGAGCACTTGTCGTTCTGTAGGGGCTTGCAACATACTTATATGTCCTTAGCATCGCGATAATCATTCTATACTTGTGTGCAAAGGTATCCTAACCACGGTACCGATTCGTGAGGCGAAACAAACATGTACCTTTTTTTTACCGATCTACCACCTGTTGAGATAATTTTTTTAACGCTAAATATTATCCCAAAGTGGTATCACGATACTTAGTCAACGATGACTATAAGGTTACAAGTGTTGAACGACTTACCGAACTATCGATCGGTATGTAGGTTTTGTTTACCGAGTCATGTTATCTCTCTCTTATTTTTTTTATTATTATTTTTTTTTTTTTAAAGGCAATCGAATTATAAGAACAGGATTGTGTCAATGGTACCAATACCGATCTCAAAGAGTTGGGACAGTCTCGTGTACAGTTTTAATCACTTCAAATCCTCGATGTATAGGGAATGGTCGAGATTTTTCGTACGAGAGGTCGCTCGAGATCAGTACATTGTTTGTCAGGCTGCAATCAATACGTTTCGCTCGGACGGTAACCTCCGTACTTTCGATGTATTATCGACGATTAATAATGAGTTATCTCAGGTCAACTGTATAAATTATTTGACTTTGCAAAACTATATCGTCTGCGATTCAAACGATTAATCAGCGGTTTCAATCATTTTGTTATAAAAACCGTGCGAATACCTGGAACTTTGTTAACAATGAAACTCTTTAATAGAAATAATATCAATGTAATAACTAGAGACGAAATCGGTATGGTTAAAAATGTTTGCTTCTCTTGGTCGGGTAGCGCAAGTCGCAACTTCTCGGAGAAAAAATCAATACGAGTTATTTATAAACCGAATTTCATATACTTCCGATCTGAGATGAAAGAGAGAGATGGAGATGGGGAAAAAAAAGGGAGATATCCCAAGCATGCGCAAAAGCAAGGTAACGAGTTGGACGAGCGCACGAGCGAAAATTCAATCGCCATCTCTCGCCGACGACGACGCGGGGAGAGCGAATAATCTTTGTCGGAGATAAGGGCTCGGTTTGTCTTGGATCGCGCGCCGATAGTCCCGGAAATGAGCGTCAAAGGCGCGACGAGTGCATTCATTGACTCGAAGGGCTGCAATCAGTGAGTCGCGTCCTACATCTTACATGTGAGTGGGCTCGAAGAAGAGCTGGCTGGTGCTGATCGGCGTTTGGGATTCGTCATGTCGATATTCGCCTGTTGCTTCCGAAGAGTAAGTCCTTGAGTTACTTTTTTTTTTTTCTACATCTCAGTGTCTTTGGTACTACACATTATTTAACAGCTCCCAACTTCCGGTTCATGGAGTCGATGTTCATTGTTTTCCCTTTTCTTTCTTTTTTTTCTTTTTTTCATTCGAGCGATCGTCGATGAAACGCCAAAAACCCGAGTTTTTGAGTTAAAACCCAGGCGTGGTGATTCGCACGGCTTTCAAAGGGAGATCGGGAACAAAACTCGATTTTCAAGGATGTGCACGTGCGTACGGGACAAAAGGTCTCTTGCTCGCGGGAGCTTCACCCCTATCGTCGAGCTGGCAAAATCGTCCGTGAATGCGAAAAGGCCGGCCTTTTGCACACGTCCACCCAATACCCACACGTTACACACGTGTCAAAAGAATATCGACATACACGCCAAAGGAGAGCGCATGCATGTATAGGTGAGGGAGGGTGAGCGGATAAATTTTCCACTACTTAGCGGATATTTCATGCCCGAGTGTCAAAGGCGCGCTAACGCCGGCCTTGCTCCGATCGCGTTATTAATAGAGAGGAGGAAAGGTGTTGCAGATACGGGGTATGGATGGGGGAGAAAAAAAAATATATACATACATGTATAAAAATATTGGGTCAACCACGAGCGAGGGAGATACGATGAAAGGGCGTGTGTTACATTATTTTGAATATCCGCCGCGGCTACGCGAGATGTAAGCCAATCGATGAGACGATTACGGTAGTGGGTGATCGAGATAAATAAACTGTACGCACAGCTGTGTCAGGGACGATCGAGTATCAGTAAATTCAATCGGTTGCTTTGACGTGGGAGGGGGTGTGTACCATTGTTTTAGTCTTTTGTCAATATAATTTTCGGCAAACGTTTCCACATGGAGTTTATGATTCATATAACAAAGGGGAAAAAAAAAAAACAATCTTGACCAGCCAATAATAGCCCGTATAAACCCGAGTTCATGTCACTCTTTCGCAACTATTGAAATCCGAACGATAAACCGAAGGAAAAAAAGAGCTCGAGAGTGAGCCGATGAACTAAGAAAAAAAGAAAAAAAGAAAAAAAGAAAAAAAAAACTTTTCCCATTAGCACAACAGACAGAGGGACGAGAGCATGAACGTGCTGCACGAGCCGCCCGAGATTTCGTGGGAGAATACCTTGGGTGCGCCAACGGGCGTGCCCTTCGACGACGAGACCAAGGAGCTGCTGCGTGCCTGCTTGGGCGCCAAAATGCCCAGCCCCGCCACCCTCACCGAGATCATCAAGCGCAGCGAGAACTTTCCCGTCCCCTTTCCCGTTGGTAACGCTCGCAGCTTCGCCCTGCGCGATCGGGGCGTCGGCATGGACACCCTCGAGGCAAGTGCTTTTACCATCCACTCATCGAATCCATCATCGGTTCTATAGATGAGTAACATACGATGTTTATTGGCAAAATGGGGCCAACAGCGTCAATTGCAAAAACCAATCGTCTTCCTGATAGAAAAATTCGATGTTTGGATGAAAAAAAGAGTGTTAAGAGTAAAACACGTACAAAACGAATGTGCTTTTGTTCAAGAAATTGTATCTTTTGTAGTCAGTTGCAATCGCGATGGCTGTACCCTTTTTACTCACCTGAGTTTGTGAACATTTACCATCAATCATTGGTTTTTCGCTTACTCGAATTCATATACATATACATACAAGTACATATACGTAAGCGCACGCAGATATATATTTATGATATATGTACACCCATGAACCGATACACGTATCGCTGACCGCAAGCGAACCGTAATTGACAATTGACAGTGCGAAGTCAAGTGTGAATTTGCACGTGAGGTAATAGGGGTAAACGGTACAGTTGTTGACCCCCCGATAGTGATTGACCACCACATGCATTTTTAAATGGAACCTTTATACATAGATATACAAATTATACAGGGGTCAATCACTACCTTAAGGTGTCAATAACTGTACCGTTTACCCCTACTTACATATATATATATATTGGGATGGTGCAGGATTTTCATCGATTTCATTTCCCTATAATGCGTATACGCGAACACTGCAATTGTTGCGTGTATGACTATTTAGTTAAAAGTAGTGCATAAGGTGTGTATGTATATCATATACCCAACAAGGCAGTGTCTAATATAATCATGTGTAGAGATAAAAATCGATACTGTGTAGATATTGTATGAACCAGGGCATAGAGTTGACACGTAACGTAGTCTCGATTTGTCACAGTTCAACGCAAACTCGGTTTACCCTCTGATCCACGAGGCCACGCTGCCCTTGATCGCCAATTGGCTCAAGTACAAGCGCATCCACGGCAGTTCGGTCGAGCGAGGGCTGTACAAGGACATGGGACTCGTGAGGTTCGTCCAGCGTCTCCTCGACAAGCGAGCCCTGCAGTTTTACGGGGCCGATGATCGCTTCTTTCTCGTTAGCGGCAAATCCGGCTCCGGTGGGTGGGAACATGTTGGCACCGAGCGCGAGAAGGAGCCACTGGTGAGTCGGGCATGGGTCTGGGGAGTTGAAAACTTACAGTACCACGTACCTCACGGGGTTTTCAGCTATATGCGGAAAAAGTCAATCACTCGCTCGTACTTTGTTAAAGTAACAGTTGGTATTGATAAATTATTAACTTTCTTTGTTTTTTTTTTTTTTTTTTTTTTTTTTTCTCTTGAGNGAGACTCGAGAAGGCCTATCCGTACTTCTTTGAGGGTGCATCCATAATTTACGATAAGCTACGTGAGTGACCTTTTTCCCTTTGTTTTTGTTGGTTGGGTTTTTTTTTTTTTTTTTTTTTTTTTTTTTTTTTTTTTTTTTTTTCTAGTTAAAGGAAGGAAAAGTTTTTTCGTTACAATACTGTCTTAAATGTATATTACAAATTAAATTGTTCAATCGGTTATCATTACTTTTGGCACTTTTCATTGAAAATTTCTTTCCAAGTCATTAATTTATGTTTCGTTACTTTTAATTGCAATTTACATTACAGTTTTGACATTTAAATTAACATTGTTGTATTGGTAAAACAAGACAATGTGGATTTTTCTTTAAACGACGTCGATAAAGCTAGAACTACTTTAATTACAATTTCGAATCCCAAATCAGGATGTGTAATAGCATCAATAAAACATAAATTGACAGAAAAATTGGCCATTACTTGGTTTAACTCGGCGACAAACCGAAAAAGGTTTTATTGACCGTTGGAAATGTTTGGTGATCGTCGCAGGTCTTGGCATCGTGTCTGTCCTACGACGAAATCAAACTGTCGGCCACGATTATAATCACATCCCACACGGAGTTCATAAATGACGGTTCGAGGGAAAACAAGGGTGTTGTCACTGACGATCCCGACTCGATACAGCCACGTGGTGTAATTATGGGCGTCGTCGGAACGAGGTAGGTATTCCCAATTGACTGTGCTCTCATGAACTTTTTTTTTTTTTTTTTTTTTTTTTTTTTTTTTTTTTTTTTTCTCTTGATGTATCATTGTATCGAAGGCAAATGTTTTTCATTATTACTCTTAGTGTATCCAGAAAAAGTGTTGATTATATGTGTACATAAAATGTTACCCTTTCTTTCAAAGTATCGTGTATACCTAACGAAAACCTTTTCAATCCCCAATCGTTTTAATGTTTAATCATCAATTTCGTGTAAAATAACAATTCACAGTTTCTCTTTAGTATACAGGAGTAAACCATTAAAAAAAAATACAATACAAATCAATTTTATCGATCATAAAGAGATACTCGTACAATCGTCCATCACATAATCTCAAAGTGTGCGAATAACGATGTAAAACCCACGTGTGTTGTTTGAAAAAATAAAACTTTGTACATAAAATCGAAACGTTTGCTCCACGTTATTATAACACTCCTCGAAGATTCCCCCCCTTTTGCACGACTCTTGACTATTCATTGTGTAAATAAACACCAACGACCAGCAAAGGATTGGAAAGAAAGAAAAAAAAAGGCCTCGTCTGCAGGTGACCACGAGCCAGACGTGAACCGCGTGAAACAACGGCTGCGCGAGCTTTACGACTTCAAAATCGAGACCGAGTGGCCGCAACGGGTGCGCAAGCCGTCCCGCGACACCCCCTGGATCAGCAAGAGCAGCAGCGAGGAGGACAAGCAGCCACCAGCTTCGTCCACGACGGGTACTCCTCTACCACCCCCGCCACCGTCGCCGCCCCAACCACCCGAGCCCGTGCGCCGCAACAGCCAAGACCTCGAGTTCAACGACCGCGATGGCAAACCAAGCATCGGCAGCAAGTACGAGCGCAGTGCCGAGACACCGGCTACTGTGTACCACAGGCGACTGCCCAAACTGCCCTCGGACAGGCGGGACTCTGGTGGCTGGAGCGACCACGTGTTCGAGCCCGTCAACGCCGATGACCGCCGACTCCAGCGGAAACTCGTCCTCGACAGGTTGTGCTTCAGCGAGGAGGAGCAACAGCAGCAACCGGCCGTGGCTCAACGGGCCTGGCGCAAGTACAGCCTGAGCGTGTTGGCCGGGGGCGAGGCGAAGCGCAACTCGGACTTGAGCGTGAGGCCATCACCGGCTAGATTGCTGCCTCGAGTGCCCCGTCCAACCGAGGCCGTGGGTCACGCGAGGATCGTTCGGTGTGACGAGGACGACCAGCACCGGTACCATCAGCCGGTCGCCAAGAGGAGCAGCTTGGAGCACAGGAGTGCTGGCGGCGGGAGGCTCGAGGTGGGGCATCACAGGCGCGCGATGAGCCAGTACGAGCCGAGGCAGAGGCTGATGGAGCCGAGACCGAGGGAGCAAGTCTACGGGGACTTTAGACCGGGTAAGGTTACAGGTGACAATGGGCTTTCGTTAACAAACCGAGGCTATACATGCCACCTGGTGCACAAAAATCGTAATACATAGTCTCTAACTGCCTGTTTTCTTTTTTTCCCCTCGTCTTTTTCAATATTGTACACTGTAGTTTTTGGTACACGCTGAGTTTAAACAACATCAACATCAAACGCGTGTCACACACGTGGAACAATCGCAACATCAAACAGAAATACAAATATGACGGTATTGTTCATTTGTTTTGCGTTTTTGTTAACTTATCTTTTGTTTGACTGTAAAACAACGAGTGTTGGGATCAACTGTTGTGAGGTTTATCATTTTTTATTTTATTTTTTTTTTTTTTATCAATCAAGTAGTTTTTNCTGTCTCCTCCAGTATATTATATTATCGCACTCTGCAGTCTGCTCTCACCGGTTAATATAATATTATATATGTATATTGTCACTGTTCAATCATTGGAGCAATTCGTGATAGATTTTCTCTCTTCTCGTTGACGAAGCAAACCAATCAACCAAAAACAAAATATATATATACATCAACACGACACGAACCAGCACATCCGCGTTTCACTTGTCAGTATAATATCAGTACAATTATGTCGTTCACTTTCTTGGTTCTAATATCCCGTTTTTTTTTTTTTTTTTTTCGTTCTGTTGCCCCTGTGGACTATGACAGGCCGATCCTATTTATACGCGTCCACGGGCGCGCGTCGGAGCGATGAAATCATTTTGAGGAAAAATTTTATACGCGCGGCCGACGGGGTTTGTTTGCTCGGGAGCTTATACGGCCGATCGTAAAGGCCGCCCGGCTTTATCTGTTATTTGAGATTAAACAGCTGAAAGAAGTTAATAATCACGCGCGCGCTCAGCATTGCCTCCTCTGAGTGGGAGAATTAATGTTGATAGCGGTGATTTGTGGCTGGAAAAATAATGTATTCGGGAGAGAAAGAAAGAAGAAATAAGGTCTCGGATCAATATTTATCCCCCGTAATTTCTGGGACTCACCACGTGACGTGACGAATGAACGCGCGTTTCGTAATTCCAAGCGTCATTACGTCACTTCGTTTTCATACACATCTGGCGGTGTGTATATACCTATACTTCTTTTTTGTCACAACAAAATCGAAACGGCCTTTGGACGCTCAAATGAAACCCACACGCGTATACATGTGCACACGGGGTGAGGGGGAAGGGGGAGGCTTTAATCAGCTGGAGCGAGCTATTGGAATTTTAATTAAACAAAGACTGTTCTCTCGCTATTGGCACACTGCAGAAGGGCCGATAGCAGTATCGTTACCGTGTAGAGTGTACAACAATCGACAGTGTACATAATATACTCTGTATGTGGGGTACAGTGGCTCATCGATCGACAGCACTGTGGTGGCACACGCAGTGAGTCTGTCGCGCGCGTGGATTTGTATTCGCGTCCTCGCTTCCATATTCAAAACGAAACAACGAAAAAGCACGGGACGCGAAACGGCGGAGCGTGTGAAAGCCGAAGGAGAGGAGAGAAGGAGTTCGGTCGGGTCATCAAGAATTTATTAGTTTTTGCCAAAATGAAACGAGTCGGTGGAAATAAATATTCATGGGATGAGTGGAAAGGGAGAGGAGGGAGCGGATACAAGAGGGGAGGAGAGGGCCATTTCGTGCGGGAGAGGACGGGAAGAATTTCGCGAAGGGATCGCGCGAGCGAGCGGCCCATTAGCAAGATTGGTCATAGCTTTGTGAAGCGAAACTCGAATAATGTCCCACGCTCGCAAAATTTCGCCGCCGTGTGTACGCGCGTATAGGTATACGCTCGGTGGAGCTTGCGAGAGAGTTATACGCGCGATGCCTCATAGGAAAGCCCGTGCTTTGCTGTACGCGTGCCCTTCACGCGTGTATGGGATGGATTTTAGGAAAGCTGCTCGAGCGCGAGTAATTTTTACGCCTCGTTGCTCCAAAGGCCCGTTTTATTATGCACGTATATATTTAATGGAAGCATCTGCTGTATTGGTGATGGTGATTTATGGGACATGTGCATTAGTTGATGAAGCTTGTCTTTGATTATGTTGGATTCGGTGTAAGCTCCCGGTTGACTGTCAACGATTTGGATGATCAAGTGGTGCTCGAGACTTTTTTTTTTTTTTTTTTTTTTTTTTTTTTTTTTTTTTTATTGAAACTAATTAATCCCCGTTTCAGATTCGAGAAGCCACGCGTCATGGAGTACCAGGACATACTCATCTCGCACATGCAAAACAACGCCGACAATGGGTAAGCTCACCGAAAATTTCCATACGACTTTCCATACCGAATATATGGGCTGTGCACGTTGTGGATGACGAAATCTTTACACGCACGCGCACATACACATACACACACACACATACATTGAAATTTCACTGTTGCGCCAGATGATCGTTGGTCCGAGTAAACGAGTAGGCGCCAAAACAATCCTCTCTCATGACGAGGAAAAACTCGGACCATTCCTTGACGGTCTCCGCCAGGGCCCTGTCAATGGGGCTGAGTTTCTTTTCCCCACCTGCGTTCCAGGATCGACTCGAGGGCCCTGGGGCTTCGTCCGACTTACGTTTCCGGCGACCTCGGCGGGCTTGCTCTGAGAAAACAAAATTAGACCGGTTATAATTTGTCCGACGGGCTCGGGGAGGAAAAATAAAAAAAGTTTGGCGATAGACATACCTTTGTAACTTTTCATCTTGGGAAAATAAGGTGACAATAGACGCTCCTGTGAAAAGCAAGTGAAGGCCTCGGAGAGCTGGCAGAAACTGTCCGAGAGATTACCCCTTTTACGGCGAGAGGCACGTTTTCATGTTTAGTTGTTGAAGGGAAAATTAGAAAGTTCGATGACGTAGGTAAGTATACGAGCCGGGGCTGCGGAGTAGGCTTGAGACCCCCTTGAGGATTGCTTTAATGGGAGTCACGAAGGGAAACTCATTAAGTAAGAAAGTAGTGAGTCGATCTCGCCGAGTTACTCATTGATGTTAGTGAAATTCTTTCACTTAGTTGTACTCAACGATTCGTCGTGTAACAAGACATTAACTTTTCACTGATTGTATCCTCCACTGTTGGAGTAATCTCGATAGGGCTCCAATAAGTTTCATCAATAATATGAAGCCTACTAAAAGCTATTTTACATTTGGGCACAGTAAATATTATCTAAATCGAACAAAAAATCATTGGTTTTTTCAAATAAGTACAATTTTATTTGAATTAATGAAAAAAAAAAAAAAAAAAAAAAATACATTTAGGATTATTTTAACAAATACCGATAAAATATTAATTTCGCGGCTTTGAAATAATGTTTATGCTGCACTTAAAGTACAATTTTATGAACAATATAGTTTGAAGCCATATAATTATTTGAAGTATTTAAAAGAATTAAGTGAAATGTATAAGTGTATTACATTGAACTGTTTTTAATGATTTAATCACATGCAAATATATTGAGATAGTCTATACTTTTAGGTATATCCCTATTACTTTGGATGAATCATTTATATGAAATACCAATTATTTGGATGATTTATTTGATAAATAAAAATACATGTTTTTTCAAATTATTTATTATTTAATTACGTTTGAAACGAATTTTTTTTTTAATTTTGTAGTTAATATAAATATTTAATATTGAGATGAAACAGAAGTGTGTATGAATTGCTATACAAAAGTACGAATGAAAAACAGAGAAGAAAAAAATTACAATTAACCATAGAGTAACGGAAAAAAAAAAAAAAAAAAATAGCTACGGTCCAGCGGAGGAAGGCGCGAGCGAGGAAAAGCGCGGTCTTCGTTGCGTGTGGGCGCGCTTCTACGGGGAAGAGTACCATCCTGTGTACGACGAGGCCATGCAGCGAGCAAAGTCCAAGGACAACAGGCGCTACGTACCGCTGACCGGCCAGATAATATTCGACGCCGAGAACTACATGAAGAGAATCTTGATGTCCGTCGAGATGATACTGCTCGACGCCAACACGCGAGCCGAGAAGCAAAACACCACAGCCTTCCTCCACGTGGTTGGATTTGGACTGGGTCGGTTTTTTTATGCGTTACTGGTGAAAAAATAAAAAGAAAAAGAAAAATTTACACATGTTTTTCCCGCCTACCAGGGATCTGGAAGATCATCTACGACCAGGAAATTTACTTTCTGAAAACCTTCGAGATAGCCCTACGTAAGATGAACAAAAAACTGAGGTACGTGTCGGACATCATGTTTTCGTACTTTCGCCAGCAAAAGTGCGGCGGCGCCGGCAACGGGGATTACCTCGGAGGTGAGAGCCCGCATAAATATACACACCCATTTTTTGCACGACCTCCTCTATACCTCTCCGTGGCACTTGTTGCCTCCAATTTGCAGACATCAGGATACACTTTGCTCTGCGCGAGCCCCAAACGAAGCTGTTTCGCTCCAGCGACGCCAATAAACTCCTTGTCGTCACTTACGCAGCCGATGGGAACTCCTACCCTGGTACGTACCACTCGCGTGTGTTTTACCGTAATTTCGTATAGCCACATCCTCCCAACTAACCACAAGGGGATGACGAAATGAAAAAGAGAAAATTATACCATGCTTGTATGGTTCGTTGGCCAACAGGTAACGAGTTCTGGGGCAACTACTTGACCGCGAGCGCCGATCCCGCGGCCGCGTGCAGCTCCCAGATAGCCGAGCTGCACAACCCACGTATCAATCCACGAGCTTGCGGTGCCAGCTTGCACGTGGCGTCCCCGGAGCACGGGCTCGTGCACATAGGCGACTACGCCAAGCTTCACCTCACGTAGGTCAGTCCAATCGACAATACTTTGCCCACGCGCGCTTGTGCCCCCCTGTATATTCAAGCCCTCCCCCACGTTGCAACAGGGTCGAATAAGCCCTGTGGGCACGGATGAGCAATCACAGCAACAGCCGGGAGCGAGACGGCCCTCGCGCTCACCACGCAGCCAACGTAGCCGCAGCGCGGACATTGACTGTCTCAAAAAGTACATGGAGCGCAAGGTGGAGCACCGCCGGCACACCGAGGCCGGGGAGACCTCGCGCTGGATCCCCTTCTCCCGGGGCTCCATACAGGCGGGCCTGCCGACCAAGGACCCTCGGGCTCCCAACAACGCCAGGGCCGGCTCCATCGCCGCCGACTCGACGCCCAAGCGCGCCACCGAAGGTCGGTACTATTTTTTTTTTTTTTACCGATTTTTACACAACCCACCCACCCCCCTCCCTAGTTTTTTTTGAGGCTCAAAGAGCGCGGTTGACTCTCGTAGTAGCCGGGAGCGTCAGCGCTGGGGAGAAGCCCTCGCCGCGTCGGTGGACGCTCGACCTGCACGAGATCCCCGAGACGAAGGACAAGGTGCGCCCGTTGCCGGTCCTGGGGCGCTACCGATCAACGGAGCACGCAAACGAGGACGACGTCGTTCGCACTCCGGGTAGGACGCGGCAGGCGCGTAGCCACAGCGCCGACGTGACGGGGAGCGTGCGACGGGACTCGTTGTCGCGGTACAACGAGCGCTACGTGAACTTTAGCGAGCGGGGCAGGTTGGGCAACTACCGGCTCATGTCCGATGCGGGCCCGATCGTCTCGCGTTACGTGCCGTCGCCCCTGGCTCGGCGCATCAGCGAGGGGGGCAACAATCCCGAGCCGCTCGGGGCGAGGTGGGTGGGGTGCTCGCGTGGCCCCGTGCAGCGCAATCCGTCCTACAGGCGGGCCTCCGAGCAGAACCAGTCGCTGCTGTCTACCTGCAGGCGCCAGGAGAGTATAACCGAGGGGGAAGAGGAGCAGCAGATCGTCGGGTGGCAGCCCATCAGGAAGTTTGCACCCGTCGTCGACACCACCACTACGACCGTCGCAGCCGAGGACACCGGGGCTGTGCCGAAGCAGCCCAAGCCCAGTGCACCAGGTGCTGATCGGACGCGTTAGAGAGTACCTAATGGTTTTTTTTTTTTTCTGTTTCCGTTCAATGAGCTCATATGTTTTTTCTTTCAATTTTTAATTTTTTTGTGTGGCGTTTCTCTATGTCATCCGAGTGTTTATCCAATCGGTACATTGTTATGCTCGGGGCTGGGTGGACATCAGAATCCTAACGCGGTCTTTCAATTTTTTTTCAACTACCCAGCCTTGATTGCACTTTTTTTGTTTGCGGAACCATTTCAATGTTTGTAAATTATATTATTACTATTTTTTTTTTTTAATGTCTAAAACTTGATGTATCATTGTATCGAAGGCAAATGTTTTTCATTATTACTCTTAGTGTATCCAGAAAAAGTGTTGATTATATGTGTACATAAAATGTTACCCTTTCTTTCAAAGTATCGTGTATACCTAACGAAAACCTTTTCAATCCCCAATCGTTTTAATGTTTAATCATCAATTTCGTGTAAAATAACAATTCACAGTTTCTCTTTAGTATACAGGAGTAAACCATTAAAAAAAAATACAATACAAATCAATTTTATCGATCATAAAGAGATACTCGTACAATCGTCCATCACATAATCTCAAAGTGTGCGAATAACGATGTAAAACCCACGTGTGTTGTTTGAAAAAATAAAACTTTGTACATAAAATCGAAACGTTTGCTCCACGTTATTATAACACTCCTCGAAGATTCCCCCCCTTTTGCACGACTCTTGACTATTCATTGTGTAAATAAACACCAACGACCAGCAAAGGATTGGAAAGAAAGAAAAAAAAAGGCCTCGTCTGCAGGTGACCACGAGCCAGACGTGAACCGCGTGAAACAACGGCTGCGCGAGCTTTACGACTTCAAAATCGAGACCGAGTGGCCGCAACGGGTGCGCAAGCCGTCCCGCGACACCCCCTGGATCAGCAAGAGCAGCAGCGAGGAGGACAAGCAGCCACCAGCTTCGTCCACGACGGGTACTCCTCTACCACCCCCGCCACCGTCGCCGCCCCAACCACCCGAGCCCGTGCGCCGCAACAGCCAAGACCTCGAGTTCAACGACCGCGATGGCAAACCAAGCATCGGCAGCAAGTACGAGCGCAGTGCCGAGACACCGGCTACTGTGTACCACAGGCGACTGCCCAAACTGCCCTCGGACAGGCGGGACTCTGGTGGCTGGAGCGACCACGTGTTCGAGCCCGTCAACGCCGATGACCGCCGACTCCAGCGGAAACTCGTCCTCGACAGGTTGTGCTTCAGCGAGGAGGAGCAACAGCAGCAACCGGCCGTGGCTCAACGGGCCTGGCGCAAGTACAGCCTGAGCGTGTTGGCCGGGGGCGAGGCGAAGCGCAACTCGGACTTGAGCGTGAGGCCATCACCGGCTAGATTGCTGCCTCGAGTGCCCCGTCCAACCGAGGCCGTGGGTCACGCGAGGATCGTTCGGTGTGACGAGGACGACCAGCACCGGTACCATCAGCCGGTCGCCAAGAGGAGCAGCTTGGAGCACAGGAGTGCTGGCGGCGGGAGGCTCGAGGTGGGGCATCACAGGCGCGCGATGAGCCAGTACGAGCCGAGGCAGAGGCTGATGGAGCCGAGACCGAGGGAGCAAGTCTACGGGGACTTTAGACCGGGTAAGGTTACAGGTGACAATGGGCTTTCGTTAACAAACCGAGGCTATACATGCCACCTGGTGCACAAAAATCGTAATACATAGTCTCTAACTGCCTGTTTTCTTTTTTTCCCCTCGTCTTTTTCAATATTGTACACTGTAGTTTTTGGTACACGCTGAGTTTAAACAACATCAACATCAAACGCGTGTCACACACGTGGAACAATCGCAACATCAAACAGAAATACAAATATGACGGTATTGTTCATTTGTTTTGCGTTTTTGTTAACTTATCTTTTGTTTGACTGTAAAACAACGAGTGTTGGGATCAACTGTTGTGAGGTTTATCATTTTTTATTTTATTTTTTTTTTTTTTATGTCGTTTTTGCATAGATTCTCGAAAATAAAACAAACAGCCATGAAAAATGTTGGATGGCATACAGATACAATGACACAGCCACGTGTTTGTAACGCACTTGTTTATTTTTTCAAAGAGACAGCGAAAAGTATTAACGAAAGAAAAGAAAAACTGCGGGTAGAATGACGCAAAAAGAAGGGGGGGGGAGGAAAATTAACAATCACTATAGTAAGCTTAAAACTATAGAAAGAGACACGAGTGATTTTTCATTGGTAAGGATAAAAAAAAGGGGGGGGGGATCGTTATTGTTTGAATTCCGCAACAACCAACCAACAAATGTCACTTTCGTATAACAGCTCCCTCCAATCTCCCGTTCACGCGCACCCACACACGCGCAATCTCAAGTTCTGTTGGCGTCCTTGCCGAAGGGTACTTTGAGCCGCTTCCTCGAGCAAGCTTTGCTCCGCGAAACAACAACAAGAGCCTCCTCCTCCTCCTTCTCGACCTCCTCGTCCATCACCATCTCGAGCTTGGGCCTCTTGGCAGCCACGGAGCACCCATTGCTCGCGTAACCACTCGACGACGACGACACGTGATGGTGCTGCTGAGTCGGCGCCACCTGATGCCTCCCGATTCGCGGTGGACACCCCTGCGACCCCCCGTTCACCTGCACGCCGTGCAAAAACGTCGCAGTGGGCCTCGGGTTTGCGACCATCGGCACTACACCAACGCGGTTCCGGTCGCTCGTCAAACATTGCGGTCCAATCGCCTGGTAGATCGTCCCCGGGACGGTGGTCTGGTGGTGCGTCGGGACGGGCTCTGACTTGACGCGCACCTCCTGGTGACCATGTGCCACGAAGCCGTTGCGCTCCTGCGACTTTTGCCACTCGAGCACGCGGCTCAGGAGGCCTATGTACCTGCAATGGAGGGGGCCATATTATACGTATATATATATAGTTACGTGACACAACGGGTACTCGTTTGCACACTTACTTGATGGCCATGCGGAGGATCTCGTTTTTCGAGAGCTTTTTGTCCGGGGGATGGGTGGGCACGAGCTTCCTCAGCTCGGCGAAGGCGCCGCTGACGTTTTGTTGGCGCCATCGCTCGCGGCTGTTGGTGAAGAGCTTTTTGACCCCGGTGCACCCGCTGTTGGCGCGCGACGTCGGCGAGCCCAACTGTCCGTTCGTCGAGGAGGACACTCCGTCGATCTGGAAAGTCATGGATGTGGTTTGACGGACAAGTGTTTTTTTTTTTTTTTTTTTTTTTCTTACAAATGAAAAATGTTTGTCTCTCGGTAGTTTTTACGTGAAAATGCTGTTTTCCTTACAAATGTACTTACAGATTTGGGCACAATCATTTCTACTCCCAAGTGGAATTGTTTTGGTGTGAAACAGTTTTTCATCCATCACTATTTACCGTACAATATTGGATTTTGGATATTGAAATTAAATATTTAAACATCGTTTAAACTACCTTGGCTAGTTTTTTCATCTAAATTGTTGTATGGTAGAAATAATGAAGAAATAAAAAAAGGATCACAGTGCCCGTTACACTTTGCAAAAAAATGATGTCAACAGCGACTTTTTAAATATACCTGGTATATCCCAAGTTAAAGTTTGAGCGAACGCGGATCAATATTTGTAATCGAAATGATGAAACATTGACAAAAACGTAGAATTTATTTGGTATGGAACGACGTAGCTTTGACACGATGTGTGCACTGCAACTTGAGAAAGAGAAAAACGGGAGAGGAAAAAGAATTGGAAGTACCGAATTCGTGCGATCGCGTTTCTTCCTGCCCTGCTCGTCCTCGTCGTCGGTGTCGTGGGAGTAAAAGTCATCGGACAGCCCGGCCTCCTCCTCGGTGTCCCTCGGCGTTTCCGGGGAATCCCCGGGCTCGTCTGCCATCTCGCCCTCGCCCGAGAGCAACGAGCCCGCCGGCGAGCCATTGTCGTTCTCCGAGCTCCCGCAGTTTGTCGCGCTACTGTACGTCAACATGGGCTGGGGGAACAAAACAACGGGCGCCTCGTTTTTTTACTACAATCGTTACAACATTTCCCCCCCCCCATGGCTAGTTTTCACTCCATCTCAAAGTGATCTATTCTATTTTTTTTTCCTTTTCATAAGAATTTTAATTGCTACTGTGATGGTTTGGGGGTATGGGTATGTACATTCCAGCTCGTTGCGTTTAATATCTATGTTGGGAAATTACTTTGTTGATGAAGCCCCGATTATTTTTATTGTAATACTTTGCACCAACTTACGCATAAAATGACGAAACAAAGAAAACAAGAAACCGGAAAGCAGATAAAACTCGTGGTCGTCGACGGCACTTTGTCCCTGACATTCGTCAGATATACCCAGATCCAGTCATATACGTGTGGTGTACTTCCTTATCTCCTCGGCGGAGCCGTGCTATGCGCGCACTCCATCGTGTTATTGTGGTCAAATATAAATATACCCCGAGATAACGCGCTGCCCACTGATTATTTTCTTTCCTAAAACAATAATTACACGAAACTCACAATCACATGCATGTATGTACACGTATCAATGGCACTTGGACGCGATAACACAGGATACAATAGAGAAAAAAAGAAAGTACTTATTCCACACGCGTCAAACGCACACCATTAGTGGTCCGTGCCTCCGCCGAATGCACCAGCACCGAGTATATTTCTGTAAACTCCACGAAGCACTGGGGGGGGAGGGGGGAAGAATCACAGTATCGGACTAACGAAGCTCATCTGGGGCACAACTCGCGTTCGACAGTGGCAGGACATTTGACTGACGGCGTCAACGAGGAGGGATGTCTAGTCGAAGAAGAAGAAGGACCTCCTCGGGGAGGGGGGACAAGCGTATAAATTCGAGGGCGGAGCGGACAAGCTCTCCCCGGCGCGGAGTGAAACGTTGTGGGTGGAGTCGCCCCGCGCGCGCGTGTTTCACCCGATGGGAGCTCCCGCATTGGCTCGCGTGGGCCGATGCGCGCAAATCGATGTCGCGCTCTCTCTCTGGTAAAGTCCTTAGAAGGGGCTGCTGGGCTCGCTCTCATTTTTACGGACGGCAAATTTTACCTTTCGCCCGATCGTACAGGTGTACGAGTGTCGATTCGTTTTTGGAAGGGTTTGTCGCGCCACTAGTGATACAAAAGTTCATCGCGTCTGTTATTGTTGTTCCAATGTAGGGAAACAGATCCCACGGCCGGACAAAGTTTTCCTTTGGCTCCTTTTAATCCGGTAAATCTCGACAGGGGTTATCCCTCCGGAGGGAGAGGATTTAATTTCTCTTCCTCGGTGCTCTTTCGTTTTTGTTAGGTCAAGGAGAAGGAGCTTTCTTTTTTGTTTTTTTTTACTTCATAATCGGTGTAGGACAATATTTGTGTCTTATCGTTGTTGCGCGTGTATTTGGTTTGAGAATGATTGTTTATCATTATTTTCACGTTTTGGTTCCACTTGAATAAAAAATCACGAAACATTTGAAGGAAAAATTATTTGTGTTGTGCAACAAAAGCCAAAAGTTCTTTTGATAATATTACGTCATAATATACCTAAATATTTTGTAATTATTTTTTTTTTACTCTTATCCCGTGATCACTGAATACACGTAGGTAGGTATGGGAGACTTATTTATTCGTTTAATCGTTTGATAGTGAATTAGTTTAAGTTTTATATTCATTAACTCATTTCTTTTTTTTTTTTTTTTTTTTTTTTTTTTTTTTTTTTTTCAAATGTGCATGAAATATTACTTAAATAAATATATCATTTTCATATTCTTACAGTTTTTCTTTTTATTCCCTAAGACAGAAGTTTTTTTTTTTTTTTACAAACTAATCAATCTTTGAAAAACAAATAAAAAAAAAATTGTGAATACATTTTCTACATGAAAATAAAAAACTTTCCCAGTGCCATGAAATTAATCAGATGCCAAATAAAAAGCACAAGCGCACAAACACCACCAGCAACACCCTTCAGCTTTCCCATCTAATTAAATTCAAATCGCAAAGATTAAAAAAAAAAAAAAAAAAAAAAAAAACATCACTCATGCGTGCACGAGAGCGAGCAGCGTCGGAAACCATCAGTAGAAGGGTCGCAGTATCCAAACACTCAGCGACGGGGACAAAAGAAGGCACCGTCAGTTAAATCTGCATTAATACCCATATACCCAATAACGAAGGGCGACGCGTCCCACTCTACTGTCCGTACGCCAATGCACACAGACTCCCACCCTCCCTCCTAGCCGTCAAGTGACCGCACCGTTATAGTCACGTGTTGCTCTATTATGACACTCGAATTAGGGCCGACTGCCATCGGGGATATACGATTTTTCGATGGGGTGTCATCGGTATATTATATAGGTGCGGGATGCGCAGTATCAATCAGCCGGTATCGCGATCTCAAGTGCCTTTTAGCGGGTCCAATCTGCGTGGGATAAGTTTTTCTGCAAGGGAGGGATGGGATCATCTTTTTTTTTCTTTCTTTTTTTTTTTTTAAATAAAATAAGCACAGAGCGCGTGTGATGTGTCCACGGGACAATGGAGTACACGCCTCGATACCCTCATTTGGCTCCGTTGATTCGACACTTTTGTTCAACGTCGCAATGAAAGGTATATTGTCCGTGTACGCGTTAGATCGCAATCTCCGTTTGGATTGAATTTTTATTATTATTTAATTTTTGTATTGTACACCAATCCTTTCAGTGAGTTGTGAAAAAGTTAAGATTTTACCTAGTTGATACCGAAAGTCTTTATTTCAGTATTTACAATCGTTTGCTCTATATAAAATCGGTAATTCAAAGGTACGAAAATGGATGAAATTAGGTAAGAATTATATTTCTCAAGTGGTGAAATTTGATAAACGAAAGTGTGAGTGTACTGAAAATATATGGAATCTAAAAATATGTGACAAGATTACACGAAAATATTTATCGTAAGTCTCTTTGAAAAAAGAAAAAAATAGTTTTACCAGTTAAAATAGAAAACCATTTTTTTATTACTTATGTAATTTTTCTACTAATGCTGGTGTACCTTATTAGCTATTTTAAACTAGGATCGAAGGACAATTCTGCATGCGTCCAGTACGAAAAAATACCAAGTACACAGGGGGAAAAAAAAAGTTCAATCCAAAACGGACACCTCGTAATAATAAAATAATTTGTATCGCAAAAAGGCGATAAATTACTTGTAAATTAATTCATGAGCCCTCGATCGTGTGTATATGATATATAATCTTTGAAATCTCAGTTTTCTCAGAGGCTTATAAAATATAACGACACCCAGAGAGCCACGAAGCAGCTCTAAAAAAAACACCGCTCGCCACATCCTACAAAGGCTATGTGAATATTGGTAAAAACCACACACGAGTCTAATTGTCCTCGTAAGCGACTGGTTATTTCAGTCAACCCCCCCATCATAAAGTATCCTCGTACACATCGCCCTCTCCCCCGTTATGTGCATTTGTTACCTACCATCCCCACATTATTGTACGCACATAAGCCAATACGAGGGGGGTAAATAACTCCTCGCCCCACAGAGTTTCCCTTATTTCTAACGTTAGCACTGCGTCACCTCAAAATAATAGAAATACCATTTCTACGGCCACTCTATTTTTTTTCCCCCCAAAAATCAGTCTCTCTCTGAGCAGCTAATAAAATTCGTGCACATAAGGAACCCGATACAGATCTGCCGATCGACGCGTGCTCGTGATCGTATACCGTAATCGAAAAGCGACTTTGCGGTCGCTTTTCCCACACGTGAGGATGAATACATTTTCGGACTTTGGGACCGGCAGCTACACTCAAATGGGATGCACGTGGCCCAATAGCACACTCAGGATGGACGAAAAAACAAATACCACATTGTATACGGGTTTTTTTTTTGTTTAACAAACAGTTGGCCTCACTTACGAAATAAAATAATAAAAAATAAAACACGTTAATCACGCGAGAAACACGTCTCTCTCTCTCCCATTGACCGGATCACACAAAACGTTTTATTGGCAGCCGCGCGGTTGTGTGCAACCCATTGTCGTGCAAAAGTCAACGATGAGTATCACACACGTATATATACGTGCGGAGCGCGCCGACGCGGAATCATTGAGAGAAAAGGCACGCGCGCCCTCGTCGACTATATACATACCGTACGTGTATCGCAATGGAAATAAAAAAGGCGAGGAGCCCGCAAAGGGACTGAAGCAAATCACGCTATGGGTGGGCGTGTCGCTGAGATTTGCCCACTGTCCCATGAACGTCAAACCTCGTGCATTATCGTCATCTGGTTTGAATTTGTTCGTATCTATATAGGTACTTTTTTTTTTTTTTTTTTTTTTTTTGTCGCTCATTTCCAATTTTGATAAAATTAGAGCGCCTCTTTTTTTGTTAGAACGTAAACTCGCGTGAGTCGGCATCATCGAGGTGTCCACGGAAGCAAACGAGCTAGTAAACACGATTTTCTCGGCAAATTCAACGACCCACACCACCCACAGCGAGTAAGCGTGCGTGGGCGCGTCACAAAAAAAAAAAAAAAAAAAAGAACGAAAGAAAAGAACGAAAGAAATGGTCGACGAGCGCGAGAGAGGGCTCAGAGGGCACACAATACAAGAGGGGGTTGGGGGGGGGGAGAATAGAGCAGAGGGGACCAGCGGGAGGGAGGAATCAATTTTCCTTATCACTGTCGAGCAGCCGTCCCCGTATTAATTCCACTATTAGTGTTTACTCCCCCCACGACTCTCTCTCTCTCTCTGCCACGCATCCATCCGTCGGTCGTATGGTTATATATATGTATTATACACATGTACGAGTAGCGAAGGCTCTCTGATGTGCATTTCATTTACGGAGCTTTTGTATACTCGCACGTCCCGCGACCATTTCGCTCCGTATACACCACCTCCTCCTGCATACACATAGTCGTTCTTGTGCAGGCACATTTTCCCGCAACAGCGACGTGTTATCCAAATTATATTTTTGCAACTGCAACTTGCACGAATGTACGAGTGGTTGGGTTTTTTTTTTTTTTTTTTTTTTTTTTTTTTTTTTTTTTTTCTCTGGAAAAGAAAATCCGAGAGCAACAATGAACAACAAGAGACGATGGGTGTATCCTTGAGTCTGCGCGAACGTCTTGGCCTGCTCCCTCCCGAGGGAAGGAAGGAAGGAAGGAAGGAAGGAGGAGTAGGCAGCCAGTGTGGAGTGTTTCTAGCTGATAAGGAACGCCAGCGCTCCGCCTTCTCGAAGCAGATAGATAGCCGAGGCGAGCTGAGAAACAGGCTCGGGGAGGGGGGCGAGTAATCGTGGCGTGAAAAATTAATCCCCGGCTACAAATCGTCCGGCAGATGACTCCGGGAGATATACAGGGGCGGACACCGAAGGAAGGGAAGGACGTGGGACGGGCCGGAGATCATTTCTGAGTCGGGACAGTCTCGGGTCGCGATTCTGGTCTATCTGCTCGTTAGTTGATTGATTGATTGATTGATTGATGGCTGGGTTGGCCTTTTCGTATAAAAAATATATACAGAGGGTACACCAGTAGATATACGTATACCTCGAAGGACTCCTTAGCGTGACTTTCAAGTTGTTGTCAGCGAGTATTGTGTGTTTACGAATGATGATGAAAGGGATTCGTTTTTGGTACAAAAATTTTTATTCGTCTATAAATTAATTTTTTAACATGTACGTATAAACTATGTTGTTACAATTACGGCGCAATCGTTTCGAGGCAAAAGTAGAAAAAAAAGCGAGCTCTGTATAAGTATTACAAAGTCATTGAATTCTCACGGTTTTATCGTGCATTTGGATTTGGGATTTTTTTTTTTTTTTTTTTTTTCAAATGCACGTGCATAAAGAATACTTTTTTTTTTACCCAAGTTCCTTTCTTTTGCATCCATAAAGGATTACAATAACAAAACAAAAAAAGTTGAATATTACATACGGTATACTAAATATCAAAATATCACATTGCGTTTGAGTTTTTGTTAAACTCAAGGTACACTTTAAAATTCTATTTTCGCTTTATTTACCATTTATTTTATAAGGCTATGAAATACCCGAATTTTTCTAAATATCGCACAAATATCATACTCGAGTTTGGGTGGTTAAATAAAAATAAAATAAAATGAAAAAATCGTAATACTTCACACGGTTTACACTTGCCTTTTTTTTTTTTTTATCATCCAACGCGTAAACCATCACTACAGTCTTTTCGGAAGGAAAACTAATAAACCTAGTGACTCTGATGATCGTTCCCAGCGGCAACGATCCCCGTACTATACCTTACACTAAAAACAACTTTGCTTCTCGCGTAGATTTTTTTTTTTTTTTTTTTGTCATCCCTCTCTACGCTTGTGATAAAGAGATGAAAAAAAAAGAACAGACAGACGAGCAAATCTTGATGTACAACGCGGTCTAAAGCTAAAAAGTTAAAATACTCGGAATGGCAAATAATAAAAATAAAAGAAGACGCGCAAGTTTGTCGTTGGTAAGAAAGCCAGTATCTGGAGTAACAAAACAAAACAAATAAGTAACAACGACACCTCCCTCGATTTGCAGAGCTCGCCCCGCGCTCGGCCAGCGAGATATTCCTGTGAGGTTCAATAAAACGCGAACATGAGGATGAGCAGAGGCACCGCCATCGTGCAGACAACGTAGACCGCGGTCCTGGGCACGCAGGTCGACATGACGACGTACTCCTGGTTCCAGAGCGACTCGTCCCCGGCTAGGACCGGCAACTCAAGGACCGTCCTCTCCCCGCTGAAGAAACTGATCGGCAGGGAGCACTCCCCCGTGCTGTTTTTGCACTGGAACACCGACTCCGAGGTGTTGTACAGCCTCTTCTGCAGGTCGAACTTTACGCGCAGGTAGTTCGACTGCATCTCGTTCTCCGAGCTGAACACGAAAAAGTAGTAACCATCCGTGGGAACTCTGGAAACATATACCATATCTCAAAATGTCAATTTCTCTGATGCTATAGCCTTTTTTTGTGTGTTGGGTACACATTGTCACTCATATATTTATATATGTTGTATCACTATCCAAGCCATTGCATGTATAGATACAGTCCAATAAAACACAAATGTTTCGGTGTGCACGTTTATCACATTATTATTTTTTCATTTATGCAATTTGTACGGTGTACCTGTACGTGATGGTATTGGCCACCGCGGCGGTGGAGTGTTGATGCTCCATCTTCGAGTCGCAGAACCGATGTGGCGTCAAGGGAAGGTTCAGTATAAGGCCCTTGCACTCGAGCAGCCTCTCCTCGGAGCTGCTGAACGAGCTCCAGAATTCAGAGTTGCTCCTGTCGTTGAGGGTCGTCTCGTTGACGGTCCCCCGGTCGTCGGCTATACCGTCCGGCTGCAGTACGCCCTGCAGTCAAACACACAAACACATGAAACCCACGTCTCACGGTACAAATTTTATAAATGATATATAATTTACGTACCTCTTCGATGGCAGCATCCGCAGCCTCGTCGTCCTCGGCCAGCATGTCCATGGGCGGTGTCAGGGTCAGGTCCCGTTTGCGTCGGCTGGCCTCTTTGGCCGCCACCTCGGCGACGATTTCGGGACTCCTCTGGCCGATCTCCTCCACCAGCTTGCTCAGGACCTTCTGTCCCCTCTCACCGAGCGCGCTTATCTTCTCCAAGGCGTCCCGGTACACTTCCACGGACGAAGGCTCGCTCGAGTTGGTCCTCCGCGCGCTTGGATCCACCGTAGTTGTTTCGGAGGGGGACGCTGTTTGGAAAGTGATTCGATGATTGCGGGGGTTCTGGGCAGTGGTTGACTGGTGGTGGATCATGGAAGGATATATTATGTGTATACCTGGAGTACTCGACATGGCCATGGCCTTGAGGCGCACGAGCTCGAGCTTGATGAATTCGGTTTCGTCGACAACGGGTGGCTTGTCGATGTTGGCGCTCTCCTTGAACACGCCCTCGTGGTGGTAGTGCTGCCGCTGCGTCGGGGCCTTCGTCTCCTTCTGGCGTTTCTTCATGTCGAGGGTTTTCATGAATATTTGCGTGAGGATCTCGCGCATGTCCTTGGCGTCGAGTTCGTGGCTCGTGTAGTGCTGCGGCTGGTGGTTGTTTATGTTCTCCGCGTTTTTGTGGGCCTGCTTGTTGAGGAACTCGACGTCCTGGTGGACGCGTTTCATTTTTGAGGGCTCGTTGCTCGGACTCGGTGGCTGCAATCCGATTTTTTTTTATTTTATACATTTATCTAATATGTAGAGTTAAATGTTACTTAACAGAGATATATCTCTTTGGAAATCTTTATTTGCATTGCTAGAATTTTGTGACGAATAGAGAAACAGTCGCAGATACGATGGATTTAACGTTGGTCCTAATAATTAACATGTGAGTAAATAATTATTTAGCGCTCGATAAATTTGTGTTATCTCGATTGTTTCGAATTATTTATACAAAAATTTGGATTTGTGTAGTTTGAACAAAGACTTGGTCAGAAGTTTATCGGTAACGGTATGTGTATTGTTTTTTGTACTACAAGGATGTCAAATTTGAAGATTCCTCGCGTCAGTCGATTTTTAATTTTTGTGATTCACTGAAAATTTCTAAAAATCAAACAAATATACGCTACAATTAATTCCAACTAAGCAATATTTAAAAATAATATTGTATTTTTTTTATTTTAAAGAAGTATTTATTTCTAATAAGAAAATCTTCTTAATATAGAAAAAATATTATGACTAATATTATTTATTTTTTTTTTTTAAAGAACATTTACTTGCAACTAGTTTATTAAATGTTTCTTTGATTTTAAGAAACATTTTTGAATGTACCTTGTACTTATTATTTTTTTTTTTTTTTCAATTCCACAAGGCAATTTGGAGCCACAAAAATGTTCGTCAAAACAAATTGATGGTACGTTTATTGTTGCTACTACAAGGATATTCATTGCAAATATTCCTCATGTCATATAATTTATACCATTTACAATACATCAAAATAAGAGGATATTTGTATACTTTTATTAATCTTATAGAGTAAAAATCTTATACTCACCGATTTCTTATTGGCCAATTCTCCTAAAACTCCACGCTCCTGGGCCACTTCGACGAGTTCCTCGAGCTCCTCGCTACTGTCGTCACCTATGAAAGCGCATTCGTGCAAGTGCTTGTGTCCTCGAATAACAGTCAGTGACGCCCCAGGCCATCTGCAAATGGTTTGCATAGTATTTTGTAATATAATGTTAGTTGGAAGATTAATTTAAAAAATTTTTTAGCTATTCCCTATTGAAAATTATTCGTATTTAATATATATATATATTGCTAAGTTTCATACGTCACTATAATTTTTCAACAACAATAAACGCGTTTAAATTATTTTTTCACAAAATATATACAATAATTTGCGATAATCACGATTTAAAAGAAGATTTTTATTTTCATCATTTATCAAATTACCGTCCCAAAGTCCAAGATAAGCGATTAAATATTATCAGTCGCGAGATATCCGTCGCTTTGTCAGAGAGAAACAAATGTCTGTTTTTCATTGAAACATTGAAGTGGAGCGTCGACCTGTCCAAATATATACATTGTCTGCACTAGCGTGTATAGACATTCGAATTAATGATACTCCACTGGACACATTTAGCTTCGACGCATACCTCGCGCATTGTGTCTTTGGCTTTGTATCACATACTGACGAAACAATTTAATTTATATTTGTGTTGCGCAGAAATACAACTAGTAGAGGAATTTTTGAATATTTTTTGGACTGTCAAAAAAAAAAAAAAAAAACTTTCCTAGGTTATTGTATATACCTTACACAAGTGGATACGGAGACGCTGCTGCCACGGAGGAGATAAAATCCCCAGTACTCCTTCATGTCGTCCTCGAGCACGAGGTGTCTGGTCATCTTCAAGGGGCTCACTTTGCTCTGCACCTTTGGTACGCCGTTCATCAAATAGGCATTGAACGTTGCGTTTACCTTCACTACTTGACTCTACAATTAATTGTTACTAAATTTAATTGTGAAATTATATTAACATTTCAAAACAAAAAGGTAAAAGCTGTCTCATTTAAAAATTAGGCTGTTAAAAATTATTAAAATTATTTATTGCTTCAGGCTATCGATGAATTTTGAATAAGCTATACTTTTCTTTTAACCCACCTTTGACTAGTCTATTAATGTTTTTGGGAAGTATTTTAAAATTATTTAATAATCCAATTATGATATCGTGATAAAAAATTTTCCAAATCGTTAGATTTCCTGAATCGAATAAGTATTATAGACGTGAAATGTCTTATCTGCGAAAAATTTTGGAATTGAAAATTTGTATGTATTTGCTAGATTGCTGCGACACGTACAACAAATAAGGAAAGTATACTCATAGTGGCGAAAAAAAATTATAGCGCTCGAGGAGGCCGTTATCGCGTTCAATTAAATTTCATTCGCCGATGACACTCGGAACAGATTATCTGTTAGGGCAAATAAATTTGAATTCCCCCTGCCTTTCTCGCCCTAATCCTCGTTTACAACTTTTCTTTTATCTCTGTCACATGTTTCGAGGAGTAGTAAAAATAATACTTGAGGAAAAATCGGCTCACAAGACGAGAGAGTGATCAATGCCTGTGATGACAAGTTGTTTAAATTTCCAAGCTCCAATAATCAAAGTAATCTCATTTTTGAGATTAACGTTAATTTTATGATTTATCTGAGAGTTGCATAACTATTAAATCTTAGGTGTTGTGTGTCACTCACTCATTGCTTAATTTATGGGGATCCTCGTAAATAATTAATCGTCAAAAATAATTCATGAGATTTTTTATTATCATTCAATAAATGAATTAAAGTACGCACGTAAAATCATTTCAAAAAATGAAGGGGGAAAAAAAACAGTTGTTAAAAATCATTATCTAACATAAATATATCTGATCCCTATTGAGTAATCTTGATTGACACTGAATCCGCGCAGATGTCTCATAATAAATAAATAAATCAAGTCCATCTTTATCAACGTACCCAACTGACATTCAAAAACTTTTTTTTTTTTTTATCAACTCACAACATGTAGTGCAACATACTGATTTTCTTTCCTCACTTTTTCATCATTTTTGTCTTGAAGTGATAATAATTTTTCCTCGTGCACGTATAGTGAAATGATGATAACCTTTGTTTTTCAATTAAATAGAATATTGGTAAAAAAAAAAAACCCACCTGACACCAAGTACTCGATATTTTGGCATCAATCAAACGCTGATCGGAAAGTGCCAGTGGATACAGCTGTTCTGAAAAAACTCGGTATCTCAAGTAAACTGGGATTGCCACGAACATAGCTGGCAATAGCACACCCAATAAACATAGTCGCACCAGACGCAGGGGCACCTTGCATTTGGCGGGCTTTGGTTGCCAATCTCGTGGTCGCATTCCATCGTCTGTCAACAATGATATACGGGAAATTATTAGATACACATTAAAAACTTTTTTTTTTAATTTCATGTAATTATTGTCTTTTAATGTAGTCAATATGATGAGGCTGTACGTACAAATTAATTTACATTAATAATCTGATGTGACGAGGAGAGAAAATTATTTATGACATGTTTTACGAGTCATGAGGAAAATAGTCGAGTTTTATAAACAGCAATTGTTACGCAATCGTTAATTTCCTCCAGTCTACGCGTCCATATAGATACTGATACTGACAGTTTTTTCCTCATTACGAGGAACTCGACATGCAGTCTGCTTAGCGACTAATTTGATTTTTAAATCAAAGCACGCCTCTTCGAGTAAATTTTGTAGTCAAGCGTCTGTCAACAAGATTTATAAGCTTTGAGGTCTTATCGGGCAGCTGAGTTGAACGATATGAATTAAATAAAACGATTATAAAAAAAAACAAAAATTAAAAAAGGCAGGGATGACTATTTTAAAGATCAGTAATATTTTTTGAAATCAAACATTTTTTTATTACTATAATTATTGGATGAAATAATTGCGGTTAGTCGGTCCAAATATTTGTCATTTTTCACTTTTTCCAAAAAATACGAGACAAATCGGTTGCTTCGAACTATGAAAGCACAAAAGCTCGGACGAGTGGTAAAAATTAATTATCTCGAGGCGTTTCTCGGCCGCTTCTAAATATCACTACGTTGATGTGACTTTGGCGCACCTTCGCTTTTTGTCAAAGTATCTATGACGTGTACGTACATATTTGTTTTAGGATTAGCGGAAAACAATCGAAAATTATTCGTATCGATGTTCAACTCTGCCACTTGTGAAATACTCGCACGTAATAACGATAGTGCGATTGCGCGCTCGTAATATTGAATTGTAATAGTAAGTCGAAATCATTTTTTTCGTGGAAATTATTGATAAGAAAAAAGATTGAAGGGATGGAAAAAACGAAATTAGCAGAAGTGCATCTTGTCAAATTTTTACGATTAGATTAGCTGTTGTGCAAATATTTTCATGTCGTGAATATTAAAGCTCATCATACTAATTTTTGCTAAAGTTTAAAAGGATGTTTTTTTTCACGTATATGTATATATAATTCGATCGTATGACCATTTGTTTCATTTCATTGTAATATTAGTTATAGCACTCTTTTATTTTAGCGTCTATAATTTTATGATGTTATAATGGTTTATGATCTTTGCTATTTAACTTGTACATTTACTACTGAAATTGTTTGTAATTATCAGTATTTATGAAATAATTAATAAATTATGAAAAATTTATTAATTTTTATGAAATGGCAAAGTAAAAGTATTTCATCAACGCAAACGAGATATTTTTAAAGAAAACTTGTTCAAGATTATAATAAATCACATTGCTTTCGAAATAAATGTTTGCTCTTATTCAATTTGCTTGTTTTATCAATTGTAACTGAAATATTAGAATCAAACCTTGAATCCTTTTTTTTTGTTTTAGCAAATCTTTTTCATCGAATCGTTTAACCCTATCTCATTTAGTTTCCTATCCGCTTCGCGTAAACGTTTTTTAAAATAGTTTTTCTGTTATCAATCACTTCCTAATTCTCCACTTAAAATCAATTAACGCCAATTTGCTTCTCAACACATTAATAATTGATGTATAAGGCAAAAATTTAATCAAATCATACGTTGAATTGCGATATCAATACTGGTAATTCATTAAAATATAATTCCAATAAAAAAATGAGTTTCAGTCTAAAAACTTCAGATTTTCAACAATATATACGAGTGAATGAACATGAATAAACAAATATCACTCTAATTGAGAAAAACGTAGATTAGCACAAGAGAAATCATCTGTGTAATCGTAACAATCGCAACACTTTGTACACCTATTGTTCAACTTCGCGTGCACCATTTGTAATATGTGTATAGGTGTACCGCTCCACCGAGTGTAGAACAAAACAAGAATCACTTATTAAATTAAGTGTAAAACAATGTCTTCGGCGCATATCGTGCTTTAGCATCAAAACCGCGTATATACGTTATCTATTTAAAAATACACCCCCGTCAAGTCAGCACACGCTCGCTTGTATATTTGTATGTTCGCGGAGTGGCGCATACTTTCGCTCGACTTCTTTGTTCAGCGCGAATGACTCGAGGTTCGAAAAATTAATTCAACCAACGTATGTATATAGATTGTATTGACTTATACTTGTGTACGTTGTAGCTAACTACAGGTAATATCACTGATCACGTTGGATAACTGTTGTTACGTACTGTTTGTTTGAATTTATACAACTGAGGTAATTTTACTGTAAATCAGTGGTTCTTCGTAGGATAATCGTATATGTATACGAGTACTTGTTGACAAGACCTTTTTGATCACATATACTGCGCCTATATACATTCATTAAGGAAGAATTCCTTTCGCGCAAAGAGTACAAAGTACGCAACGCTCCGCAGAACGACACAATGCAGTCTGGCAAGCCGTTTGTGTATTTTGAACGGTGATGGACGACAGTTAGTTCCACAGAGTCGCGTTATTATCTCTTCGAGATGGTAGGTGCATATATAAATATATACACTTATTGCGGTGCAAAAATGTCAACCGATTATCTATAGCATTATTGTTCGAGTGTTTATACAGAGAAGATTACAAAAATGACAAACGAATCGATACACATACGTGCGTCGCAGTAATATTGCACGAGATAACTTTTATACTATATACTTACATATAATGGTAAATAATCAATCGACAATTTGATTTGCATAATTTCTTTTGTCTCGTGCAGTCGAGCGGTTATTGTAAACGTGACAGAAAAATCATCCCGAAATGACACTACAATATCACTTTAACTCGCTGCGATGTCTATGTTTACATCGGTGGGTATTTAAAGACATTATTGGATACCCAAAATAGATAAAAAAAGGTGACAAATTTATTGTATACGTATACGTATGAAAAATACATATTTTTAACGGGCGCGCGCATGGTGCGTCGGCATACCGGTTTTTCCATCCCCGGTGCCGGTCACGGAGAAGAAAAACAAAGTCAAACGTACAACTAGGGTATGGGTGTGAAAAAAATGTGCCAACTCACCAAGCGAGTTCAAGCGCAGGGGCACTTTTAACGCAGCCTCGCCGCTCTCGCAGTCTTTTTCTCGCATCGCTCGTCCGCTGCAACGTATACTTATATGCTTAATCAACCGAGACAATGTGTACGGGGTACGAGCCGAAAGAAAGGAACTAACGAAAGTTCCCCCGCGTCGGGCCGACCTATGGGCAAAGTGATGGTGATAGCGATTCCGAAAAGTATCGACACTCGACCGATTACGGAAAACACCTTATCTTTCACCGCATCGCCGATTACCATGCACGCAAGGTGTCTACCGATCCGCCAAAGTTTCGATGATCGGTATATATACCCAAGCTTTCGGGGCTCGCGCTTCGCACTGACTAGCTTTTCACGCTCGCGCTGCGCTAATAAGCTTTTATCTCCTCTCTCGACTACGTTCCTCGCGCGAAAGAGACAGCCGTTGCATTATTTTAATAACGAGGCTATATGTGGCATCGCGCCCAACTGTGCAATCAAACGCGCGTGGAAAAAAAAAGGAAAAAAGAACAATCGGCGCGAGCTAAGCTTCGTTTTTTGCATTTTCTGTTTGATCGTTGCGAGATGCGGGAGTTTATGGCTTATCAGTCTTGGACTCGCGCAGGTGAAGTAGACGATCGTCGCCTTATCTTTGCCGGTGGGCTATTTTTTCTCTCTTCCGTACAAACAACTAGAAAGTTTTTTTAATATCGATGTGTTTGGAATTTTCTCCGCTGGGATATAATATGGTCTTGGAATTGACAAAAGGAGTCTCTAAGTTTTACATGCTCAAGTGTACTTGGTCGAGTTTCTATTTTGTGGAAGGCAATTAGGCTTTTGTGTTTAATGTTGCTTCATGAATTTACTTTTGAAAGCAACGTTAACGAGGAAGCATGTGAACCTTCAAGAAATTTACTTGTGATTATCACTTTAGATTAGCCCGTTATCTTCAAGTGTTGTGGATGAAGTAATTGCATTTTTGCAACAAGTTTTTCAAGCCTTAATTGGACAAGTATTTGGTAACGCCTGCTAACGTGACATATTTAATGGACACACCAGTAACATTATTATCATTTTGTAGGAAAATTAGTATTTATTTTACAGTCTATTTACACAAACAATGTACCAGTTCATCTTAAAATACTAAGCACAACTTTCAACGAGAACAACTTATTTTTTACTGCTCTTTGACTTATCAGCGCCGTCACCGCGTCTTCGTTTGTTGATCGGATTTCTGGGATCGTAAATCTCGAACCAGTCGTCGCCCTTGGAACTGGCGTCTTTGGCGAGCACAGGAGCTTTTTCCTCGCAGCGCAAAGGCTGGACAATCCAAGACATGTCGTCTGGGTCGTCCTCTTCGTCGTCTGCTTTTTCTGATTTCTTTGGCACCGTGACTTCGCCGTCCATCTGATGTTCTTTCACGCTAATGATTTTGTTTTTGAATTTATTCAGCAGAGAGAGCGTGAAATCTTCCCTCGTGGCACCTGCAACGTCATTTCAGATTAGTTACGGGTACTTAATTTTTTTTTTTTTTTTTTTTATTTACCTTTCTTTGGAATTTTTTTGTGCTCCTCTTTGTATTTTTCCTGCGTTTGATGATACTCTTTTATCAACTCGGACTTGACTTCTTTCTTCTTTTCTTCTTCTACTTTCTGCTTTTCTTCTTCTAGCTTTTTATTTTTATCGTCACGCATCCCACGCTTCAAGTCGCGAATTTCTTTTTTTATCTCTATCCTATTGTAGAAAATAAAAAAATGTTCTTCAAATTCCCGAATCATAAGGTGGATGATGAAAACTAATAAAAAATTACGTACGTTTTTCTTTTCCTTTCATCGTGTTTTTCTTTGCCAAGGTAATATTCTTCCTCTTCAGATTCGTCGTCATTATCTTTGTGTTTTTGTACTTTTGTTTCATTAACAAATTTCTTTGATCCCTTCAATTTACTTTTTATTCTTTCTGCCATTTCTCTACAACAATTACAACACATTCAATACATTGTTGTATTGTAAAAATAAAGTTGTATTTTCAAAAATGTATTACTGTTTTTCTTTTTCTGCCACAGTTTTTTCCTCCATACCTAGCTTATCATCGCTAGCATCACTATCACTTTCAGAATGACCAGAACCATCTATTCTGGATTTTTTTTTTGGTGGAACTTCAATGACTGGTTGAGAACTCAATTTTGGATCATTTAAAACATCATGAGCTGATTTACCTTTGGTGCTCAACTTTTTGTTTAAAACTACCGATTCATCTTCATCTTCTTCGGCTTCTTCACCAAATGACAATAATTTGAAATCTCTACGAAATTTCATTACAACAGTTATTCACAGTGACAAGATAAGATCTTTCTAATACTCACTTGACGCCTTTCTTTTGTCTTTTCTTGATTCTTTCCTCATTAGACTTAGTTTTGGGAACCACCCTGGGTTCAATATCATCAAAAGGATTACTGAGAACTTCTGTTTTCAATATTTTTTGAGGATAAATCGGTCTGTCAGTCTAAAATACCATGACAACAAAAACAATGCCAGTTTAATATAACTGATATAGTTCTACATTGAATACAATGCTCATACCTCATCTACAAGAGTATCTTCGAGCTTTAACATGTTATAAATGGTTTCGCCAGTTATTTTTCCAAATATTGTGTGTTTGTTCTGCAACTCGGGAGTTGCAGCAAGTGTAAAGAAAAATTGGGACCCGTTGTCGTCTTTCCCAGCATTGGCCATAGCCAGGAGACCTCTTCGAACGAAGCGTAACCTTGAATGGAACTCATCCTTCGTTGAAAAAAAAAAAAAAAAAAAATTAATCTAACGTTATACACATTTTTTAATCGTTAAAGAAACAATTAATCAATATTTACCTTAAAAGGTTCTCCATAAATACTCTCACCACCCTCTCCAGTGCCAGTGGGATCACCCCCCTGGACAATAAAGCCCTTGACAACTCGATGAAATATGGTATTGTCATAGTAACCTTCCATGCACAATTGAATAAAATTTTTGCAAGCTTTTGGTGCTTCTTTCGTCCATAATTCTAAATCTAAATCTCCCACACTAGTTTTCATGAGAACCTACAAAAAAATGTATAGGTTAGAGAAAAATTTTTAAATAATCCAAGTTGTAAGGATTTGTTTTTAACAAATAATTATTTCTACATTACCTTTCCTGTTGCAGGTGGTTCTTGAATATAAATGTTACTCATTTTTATTTAGTTGTTTAGTTCAGTTGTAATGAAGCTGTGAGTATATGGGATACTTTCACTCTTACACTTGTGGCAAATGTTTACACTTAAAAATTGGCTTTCACATGATAAGTAATATATCAACTTCTTAACACAAATTTTATGTAATAATATTATTAATTGACCATAAAACAATGTTCCAAGAATCAGCTATTAAAGCCTGTAACATACAATGTCTGCTTAAACTTTGCTTACAAATAGACACATATATTTGTACATGGATGATTACACGGAAAATCCAGTAGTATTCGGATTTCCGAAATTGGGCATTATGGACATTATTTCCACAATTTATTCACAGTTATTATTGTACTGGAGTTAAAAAAACTATTGGCTCGAAAAAAAAAAACAAAAAAAAACGAAAATGTTACAGTAACGATATTTCAATCGCTTTTATCGATCTCACACACCTTATTTATCTCCAATGGATATGAAAAGCAATACACCGGGACATGAAAAAATAATTGAACTTGTATGTTGTTTCGAATACGTATATAGTAAAGTTTTCGTGAAACAATCCATGTACATCTATATAGTATGCCGTCAACATAGACTACCAACACCCACGCAACACACCTGTTTCCCTAACAATGAGGTGCATAGGTACAACACCGTGCAGACATGCGATTTACTTGTTTCCTTGGATACAGATGAAATTTCATAGATTACTCATGCTATTTCCGTACGTTGCTTTTCACCGTCTCGCGCGTCGAGTTTCGGGTGTGAAACGCAAAGTGCACGTACTTGTACGCGTAGTGTGTGAACCGCGAGGAACAAAAAAAAAAAAAAAAAAAAAAACCCGCAGCCATGCAGGGGGAAAAGCGCGAATTTTACAAATTGATCCACGAGAGGCCCAAAGCGCCGCGTCCCGTTGAAATACCCGAGATGGATTTCGCCAAGAGCGAGCACCTCGAGAGGAACCCCCTGCAAAAGTTTCGCGCCCAAGCCATGAGGTTCGTCAAGCCGAGGCCAACTCCCCAGACAAGCAATAATAAGTTGACCGACAAGTGGAGAGCCAGTGTCCATCGGATCTCAAAGACCCTCTACCAGGAGGAGCTCATCAAGTTGGCAAAGTCCATCCACGTGCAGGGCCTGCTGTCCGAGTGGGAGGAAAACATCCTGAAACTGATTCCCAGGACCTCCAAGAGAAAGCACATCATGTTCCTGATGGGCGTCATGAAGGAGGTCAGGCAGGACTACCTGCGGGAGATGCAAGATTTGAGCGCCCGCAGTATCGTGCGCGTCGCCAACGGCAGCGAGCCCATCAGTGCCGAATCGCCGAAAGCAATCAGGAGAGCCTCGACCGAGGATTTCGGCCTAACTTTTCACGCGAATCGCAAACTCCTGAACAAGAGGTACCTCCTGTCCCACCGGCTGATCAGGAGCATCGCCAACATCATGCACTACAATCTTCCACGGAGTTTCATCAATTTCGATAAGTACAAGGCTGTCGAGGGCGCGCACGTGTCGAGGCTGAGCGACATGATGAACGGGGACGTGCAGCGTTGCGGCGTGATCGTGCAAAACCAGTGTTACAACGAGATAGTGAAGCACATGCTGCAGATGACGCACCTGAAGGACGACAGGAGGCTGCCGAGGTTGTTGCACTGCGCGGAGAGCTTCATGGCCCAGCAGATCTTGAACAGCATGATGAAGAGCATCGACGGGCTGATCGACGCGCTGAGGGGCCCCGGTGGTTGTTGGGCGCGCTTGAAGTTGACGCTGTTGTGCAGGAACGACGGAATAGAACTCGAGCCGAGCATCGACGATGTGTTCGCGGCGTACCACCGGGTCGTGGACGGCGTAGGTAGCGTAGCCCAGGAACTAGTGCCCCTGGGCGAGTGGCTCAAAGTGATGGATGACGGCAAAAGGAGGTACATCAAGGTAGCTTTGCCGGCGTGGTTTTTGAAGAGGGCTCACGAGGATCTGCAAGAGGTGCTCGAGGGGTGTTTCCAGTCGTTGCACGAGCACCACGAGTTCGCGAGTGCGCGCTTCAATTTGTTGTGCTCGAGCAAGACTAGGAGACAGATTAACCGGCTGATAGCTAGTAGGAGGAACTTTGATGTTTACTGCGCGGAGGTGCGCAAGTTCAACGGGTACTTGAAAGAGGTCGCGGACTTGGCCCCGAGCGTGTACTATGACTTCGGGACGTTGGACCAGTCGGTGGCGATATGCGATTTGAAGCAGAACGCGTCCGAAATCATCGGTATCCTCGTCGGTGTACTGCTCGACAATCATCAGGAATTGAATCGGAGTATTTGCGCGGAGTTTGAGAATCTGGAGAGCAGAGCCCTGGCGATCCCCGATGACACGAAATCGTTGTTCGAGCTTACCGATTACGTGTCTCACGCTTCGAAAGTTTTGGTGAAGGAGTTGGAGGAGAAGATACGGCGCTCGGTGGGCATGTTGTCGTCGCTGCTGGAACTAGCCGTGTTGTCCAACGAGCACGTAGAATTGAACAGGACCACGATCAACTGGCTGGAGCTGATAAAACCTGTCTTCAGTCAGCACAACATATTTTGCGAAGCGAAGAAAGGCGAGTTGGAGGACGAGCTTCAGAAGAAGGTCAATACTCTGAACGGGGAAGTGGACGCGATTTTTCCCGAATTGGTCATTATTAATGACATGGACGATGCCAACAGGATTCTCGAGTACAAGGAATTTCTGATTTCTATTTTAAAAAAGATAAGTCTGCTGGACAATCATATTTCGGGGATAAACAACGAGGAGAAGCTTTTCAAGTTTCCAGAGACGACGTTTCCCAAAGTCGACGAGGTCAAGGAAGTCATGAGTTCGTTTTGTTCGTTGATACACGTGATTTCACAATGGCAAAGGAATTACGGCGTTTGGATGGACGGGCCATTCGAGTATTTGGACGCACAGTTGATCAGAGAGAAAACGGACAGCTACTTCAACAAGATTACGGAGATGCACAGGGCGTACAAAGTGAAGATTAAGTCGGATCTGACGTCGAATAAGCCGTTCAAGTTCTCTGGGATTGTCGACGATCCAGATCCGATGCAACAGCCGGCTCCGTTGAAACTGTGCTGGCAAGCTCTACGGGATTTAAGCGAGTTTAAAAAGTATGTTCCGTTGGCGATTTGCATGTGCAACCCTGCACTGGAAAAACGTCACTGGGACGAGATGTCCAGCATAGCTGGTATCAATTTGTTGCCCAATGCTGGTACAACTTTGAGAAAAATGATCGATATCGATTTGTTGAGGGATTATGATAAGTACCATGTCATCAGCTTAGGAGCCAACAAAGAATTAGCTTTGAGCCGGTTGTTGAATTCGATGATCGGCAAGTGGAGTAGCGTTAGTTTTTCAATGACCGTTGACGAAGCATCGAATTTTCCAGTTTTTGCCGATGAAGATCAAATAGAAATTCTACTCGAAGAACATTTCGTGGAAATTAAAAAGATGAGAGCGTCTTACTTCATTGCGCCCATCGAAACGAAAATAGTTGATTTTTATAAAAAATTGTGCTGTGTCCGCGATACGATAGAATTGTGGAATGCTGTGCAAGAACAGTGTACGTACTTGAATCCGTTTTTCATTCATCAAACTGTACAGAGTAATCTTGCAACGGCAGTCGAGTTGTATAATTTTGTGGTTTTTATGCTGAAATCCATCAAGGAAGCTGTCGCGTCGACGCCGACTTTTGATTTTATAACGCAAACCTCGAGTGCACTGGACAAACTTAAAGAAGGAATGTATGCTGCCGAGCTGATAAGAGGAAAAGTGCGCAGTTACCTTGATGGACTAAGACTTTCGTTCAATCGATTTTTTTTCGTGTCAGATGGTGAAATGATGAAACTTTTATTCGAGCATCAGTGTGTTACTGAAGCAAATTCTCATTTGCAAAAGTGTTTTCCTAATGTAGTGCAAGTAAAAATGGATCAACAAAGTAATATAGTTTCGATCGTGGGAGAAGATGGCGAGGAATTAAAGTTGGAGAATGTAGTTTCAGTCGTGTCTAATGTTGGCTCTGTAACTGATTGGCTAGTGACTTTGGACAAGGAAATCGGTTGTACAATTAAATACAAGATTGTTAAATCTTTAGAGGTTTTTAACGATGAAGTGTCTCTGTCGTGTATATCGAGTAATCCTGCCATGGTGACCTTTTGCACGTGGCAAATCATTTGGACGTCGCAAATCCACAATTGTTTCATACTTTCCAACTCGGAGGCCTTAAAAGTTTGTCGCAATAAATTCAACGAGTACAAAGAAAGTGCTCGGCAGCTCTTAAAACTTAGTCTGAGTAGAAAAGATCGAGAAACCGTTACCTCTTTAATTGTCCTTCTGATTCATCAAGAAGAAGTAATTAATTTGCTTGTTGAGAAAAAGGTGCACGATGACGCAGATTTCGATTGGAAAGCTCAAGTTCGTTATTACTGTCAAGACGAACAAGTCAAAGTCTTTATCATAAACACTTGCATTAACTACGCTTACGAATACTACAGTAGTAATCAGAAAATATTGGTCAACACGCCGCTGACAGAGAGATGCTACAGAAGTTTGATGGAAGCAGCAAATCAAAATTATTACGGGAAAATCGTTGGCTTCTCGGGTACCGGAAAAACTGAAACGATTAAAAACTTGGCCAGAACATTGGCTAAGCCAATGTTTGTATTTCAAGGAGATGACAGGCAAGATTACAACTGCATGATCAATGCGTTTAAAGGACTGGTGACGTTAGACGTGTGGGTGTTTTTAAAAAATTTTACAACGATAAAAGAAGAAGTACTGTCCGTCATTGCGCAATACATTTTCCGGATTTTTCAAACCAAAATTATGAATTTAACCACCATAAACATCGACGGAGCTCATCTTGACTTTAATCCAAACAGCCATTTGAGTATAAGTGTGAACCCAACGATACCAAAACTGTTTAACTTACCGGACAATTTGAGGCTACATTTTAGAACAGTTTGTTTCATGAATCCAGACGCAGAAAAGATTTGTCAAATCGAACTGTTCGCCGCAGGATTCGACGATGCTAAGAATTTAGCGACGGCAATAAACGAAGTTTACGATCTTTGTAATGATCTGATGTCTTCCCGTAAAACCTACAATTTGAAATTAAGAAGCATGAAATGCGTTGTCGCGAGAGCAGCTCAATTGAAATTTGCATCCCCAGACGAGGATGAACAAACCTTACTTTTTCGATCGTTGATTGATGTAAACATTCCCCAATTGGCTGCCAACGACATCGTCATCTTTCGAAATGTATTAAGTACAATATTTCCAGGAGCAGTGCTACCTCCTCCTAATCACGACAATCTTTTAGAAGCGGTGAAAAAAATCTGTGCGGACGAACACTTGAGTAATCACGACGTATTAAAGTCAAAGGTAGCTCAATTGTACGAAATGTTGAATGTTAGAAGGGCAATCATTCTCGTTGGGGACGCTTGTAGCGGAAAATCGACTATTTTACGCGTCCTCAAAGAGGCCTTAACGCTTTTGCACAACCAAGACAATCAAGACGACAATTTCGTGGTGAGCTGTGAAGTAGTCAACGCCGGGGCTTTGAGTGTCGATAGATTGTACGGGTATACTGACAAAGGAACTGGCAAGTGGATCGACGGAGTTTGTGCCAGTGCGCTTCGTCGTCTGGTAGAAAAGGACAATTCTGAATGCAAATGGTTGATATTCGATGGGAATCTAAGTGGTTCGTGGACCGAAAAGTTGGAAACAGTTCTTGATGATGATAAAACGTTATTTTTAACTTCGTACGAGCGAATAGTATTAAGTAAAGAGGTACACATATTTTTCGAAACATCGACTTTGCAAGACGCTTTACCTTCGACAATCTCCCGGTGTGGTGTTGTTCACTTAGATTCTCGGGCAATAGGCTGGAGACCTTTTTTATTAGCCGACATTATAAGCGTGGAACAATTTTGCGGACACGAAAAACAAATTTACGCGTTGTTCGACTGGACCGTGGACCCATGCTTGGAATTCATGCGCAATAATCGTTGTACAGTTGGCTTGGCGTTAACCGATTTGCACCTGGTCATGTCGACCCTGGATTTGTTCAAGATGTACATGAATTTAGCGTTCGAAGATAATTTAGACAGAAAAGAAAAAGACTACATCGCAGTGTGGTCCCAAGCGGCCGTTATAATGGCCATTAATTGGGCACTGGCAGGAACTCTAGATTTCGAGTCGAAAGTAAGATTCGAAGAATTTTTTGCGGCCTTATGGAACAACTTGAACGAGCGTTATCCTCGTCCGCCCGAAATAAAACAATTGGAAGTAGCGCTGCCCACCGAAGGTAGACTACAGGACAACGTTTACGTATTCAAGGGAGCCGGCAACTGGAAAAACTGCGGGGACATCCTTAAAACGGAAAAAATCCAAGAGGACGTATCATTTCAAGAAATTTTCATACCCACGATCGACAGTTTGAAGCTATCCATGATTCTCAACTTGCACCTCAAAAATCGCAAGCCGTTTATCTTATGTGGGCAAAGTTCCAGCGGCAAGACCGCTTTCCTTCGAAACTACCACGCCAACGTTTCCACGTTGGAATACATTATGAACTTTTTTAATTTCGATTACCTAACAGGGTCGGACAAGGCCCAAGAACTGTTTCTCTCCAAGTTGAATAAAATCAAGCACTACGACTACAGACCGTCCAAGAATAGGTGCTGTGTGCACTTGATTGACGATTTCAACGCCATTCCCGGCAGCGATGTGGATTCAAACTCGACAACGGAATTGATACGGCAGTACATGGATTACGGTTTTTGGTATGATATGAAACGCGTGAAGAAAGTAACCGTGACAAACGTGTTGTTCGGCGCGGCGATGACCACAGGAAGGGAAAAACTTGGCGCTTGTCCCCGTTTTCTGAGGCACTTCAATGTATTCGCCATGTACGCGCAAACAAAGGACAGCATGTTTCGAATTTTTTCGAACAGTCTCACGATCGGTTTGAAGAACAACTCCTTCGCTCCGGACATTGCGAGCAGCGTCACTAGCATCGTCAACGCCACGCTGGAAGTGTACCAAGCCACGGTTCAAGAATTGCGACCAGTACCGACAAAGCCGCTTTATTGCTTTTCCATGAGGGACGTTCAAAGAATCGTGAACGGTTGCAGCTTGATTCACAAGGAGTCGGTCGAAAATAAAGTAACTTTCATCCGGCTGTGGGCCCACGAAGCTTTTCGCGTACTCACCGATAGGATCAACGACAACGAAGACAAGCAATGGCTGTTCTCGAAAATACGCGAGTCCGTCAAGATGTACTTCAAGGACACGTTCGAGTCGGTGTTCGACAATCTGCCAAAGTACGGGGACAACGAGCTGACGTTGGACAGTTTTCAAAATCTCGCTTTTGGCAATTTCGTGGATTTGTACAAAAGCAAACGAAGGTACGAAGAAATCAGTTCGTTCGAGCAGTTAAAGAACAAGTGTTTGCAATACTTGGGGGAATTCAACGAGAGCAATGATAAAAAGCTCGACATGGTAGTCACGTGCCACGTGCTTCAGCATTTAGTCAGAATATGTCGCGTTCTGGCCACCGCAGGTGGCAGCATGTTGATGATAAGTTCGAGTGGTACCGGGAGGAAATCGCTTGCGCGATTAGCTGCTCACATTCAACGACAACATTTGTTCGAACCAACGATGGACACGGAATACAACGAAACTTGTTGGAGAAACGACATTAAAGCCATGTTGCTGGACTGTGGGACACTAAAGAAAGATAACGTCTTTTTGATGAGCGATCGACAGATGAGACCGGAATTCGCAAGGGATATTAGCAGTTTGCTGAGTTTTGGGGAAATTCCTATGTTGTTTTCCGATGACGAGCAAAGGGATATCATAAAAAAAGTGCGACTCGATGCCCAAAACGGAAACAGAAATTTAGAACTTAAAATGTCGAGTATTTTCGATTACTTTTTGTACCAGTGCAAGCAAAAGTTACACGTTATTTTGAACGTAGGGCTCACGCGAAAAAATTCACTAGACTACTTGCACAAGTATCCCGCGTTGATCGACAAATGCACGATCAACTGGCTGGACCCTTGGCCAGAAAAAGCACTGGAACAAGTGGCTACTTGGTACACAAGAGACACAAGTATTCAAGATTCCGTGAAGCAACAACTAATACTCGCCAGTAAACATTGTCACGGTAGAATGAGGCAGATAAGCACGAGTTATTACGAAGAAACGGGAATAATGTCACACGTAACGCCCGTGAGTTTCGCGCGTACGATCAAGCTATGCGTGAAAATAATCTCTGATAAACAAAGGGAGATCAAAGCAACGAGAAAACGATATCTGAGTGGATTGGACAAGTTGCAGCTGGCAGCTCGCGAAGTGGCACAGATGAAAAACACGTTGACGAAACTCAGGCCGCAACTGGAAGCGTCGGCTCGAGAAACCGAGGAAACAATGAAGGAAATCGAGAACGAGAACTTGAGCGTGGAAAAGACAACTGTTCTCGTTAAGCGGGACGAAGAGGTGGCTAACAAAAAGGCTGAGATAGCCGGTATTTTGAGGACAGAGTGCGAATCCGAACTTGCCGTTGCCATACCCATTTTGGAGGATGCCATTGCTGCTCTGAACACCCTCAAGCCCACGGACATCACGTTGGTCAAGGCAATGAAAAATCCCCCCGACACCGTCAAACTCGTCATGGCTGCAGTTTGCGTGATGCTGGGCGTGCCGTCCGAAAGGGTCATAGATTCCGTAACCGGCAGAAAAACCATGGACTACTGGGGTCCCAGCAAACGAGTCTTAGGTGACATGAATTTCCTGCAAAACCTCAAGGATTACGACAAGGACAACATATCCCCGGCAATCATGGCCACGATCAAGAAAACGTACATGTCGGACAAGAACTTTATGCCACACATAGTCGCTAAAGCGTCCAGTGCTGCCGAGGGATTGTGCAAATGGGTCCGGGCCATGGTCTCTTACGACGAGGTGGCAAAAGTTGTGGCGCCGAAGAAGGAAAAACTCGCGGCAGCTCAAAAAGAGTGCGACGAGACGGAAGCTTTTTTGAACGCCAAACGTAATACCTTAGCCGAGTTGAACAGAAAATTGGCAGTGTTGAAAAGTACCCTGCAGGCCACGCTTTTGAAGAAATTGGAACTGGAAAGGGAAGTGAAGGACTGTACTGTTAAGCTGAAAAAAGCCGAAGGTTTGATTTCCAGCCTCAGCGGCGAGAAAACCCGATGGCTGGATTCGGCCAACAAACTCGGGCGATCCTACGACAGCTTAGCTGGAGATGCGTTCATGTCCAGTACCGTGATAACATATTTATCATCGTTTAATCTGGTGTACCGCGAAAAAGTGATCACCGAGTGGAAAGAGTTCATGAAAGTGTACAATGTTCCGTTTTCAGATGATTACGATTTTATAGGCTTCCTTGGAAACGAGGTGAAAATAAACGCGTGGCAATTGTGTGGTTTGTCGAACAACCGGTTTTCGTTGCAAAACGCAATAATCATGGACAATTCCCCATTGTGGTGTTTATTCGTCGATCCGCAAGCTCAGGCAAACGAGTGGATCAGGAACATGGAGAAACCGAATAACTTGCAAGTTTTGAAAGTCACAGATGCGAACCTCATGAAGTCGATTCAGCAGCATGTTGAATCGGGCAACCCCGTGTTGTTAGAAAATTTGGATAAGGAAATAAGTGTTTCCGTCGATCCAATTCTCACTCGATATGTGTACGAACTTTCGGAAACTCCGTACATAAATCTTGGACGAGAAAACATGTTGTATAAGCCGAGTTTTCGATTTTATTTTACAACAAGGCACCACAAGCCTTGTTACTCGGCTGACATATTTAACAAGGTCACAGTGATCGACTTCTTGTTGCCCAGCGATGCTCTGCGAGATCGGCTTCTGGACATCGTGATATCTCGAGAGAGGCCGGAACTCCAAGAGAAATTTGAAAAAGTATTAGCCGAGAATATAAACAACAAGAGAATACTCGAGCAGCAGGAAGACAACATTTTGCACGTTCTGACGACTTCGTCTACGAATATTCTGGAGGACGAAGGAGCCATCAAGATATTGGACTCCTCCAAGAGTTTGGCCGAAGACCTCACGAAGCGTCAACAGGCCACGAGAATTTCCAAGGAAGAAATCGATGCGTTTCGCGAAACTTACGCTCAATTCACAAAATATTGCGCGGACTTGTACAGTACGCTGAACGTACTGCCCAATCTGAACCACATGTACAGATTTTCGCTCGCGTGGTTCACGCAATTGTACATCAAATCCATCGAAACCTCGAATCGTAGCGTGATTCACAAAAAACGCATCGACTACTTGAAAATGTCGTCGATACAAAATCTCCACCTAAGCGTCCAAAACGCCCTTCTCGACCGGCACAAGCTCATTTACTCGTTCCTATTGTGTGCAAAAACTTTGATGGACACCGAACAAGTTACCGAACAAGAGTTCAACGTCTTTATGAACTTGGACGGAAAATATTTCACCAGAGACAACGCGACAATCTCTTCCAATAATAATAATCCAGCGCCCCAGTGGCTGTCCGACAAGTCGTGGAAGGAAGTATGCAAGATTAGCAATTCGCTCGGTGTTTTTCAAAATTTTGCCAACAGCTTCAGCACGAATATTGCCAAGTGGAAGAAATCATGCAACTCAATCGACTGTGATGACTTTTGCATTCCCCCGCCTTGGGATAATAAACTGACGACCTTTCAAAAGTTGATTGTCACGCGAATTTTGTGCCCCGGCAGGATAATTGCGAAAATAACCGAATTCGTTGAATCCGTGGTTGGATATGGCAACGGTTCGTTCGTCCCAAACAACGTAACGCGTCCGTACGCGGAGTCTAGTTGTTTCACGCCGTTGTTGTTTATTTTGCCCAGTTATTCGTCACCTTTCGCAATCGTCAATAAATTGGCCAAAGTCTTAGGATACTCTGCAAAATTGCATGTATTGTCGATGGGTCCATCGCAAGGGCAAAAGGCCGAGTTGTTGATAGAAATGGGTAGAAAGAATGGGGAGTGGGTGTTTTTGCACAATTGTCATTTAGCGCTAACTTGGATGACAAAGTTCGAAAAGATGTGCGAGGAGTTCACGGTGTCCAATACGAATTTGGGCTTCCGTCTTTGGATGAGCGCTCAAACCGACGACAAGTTTCCAATAGGTATTTTACAAAACAGTATTAAAATTGCCTTTGACTTTCCGCAAGATGTAAAGCAAACCTTGACTTGGTCGTACAAGTCCGAGCCGATAAAGGATAAGGATTTTTTCGAAGGTTGTCCTGGGAAAGACAAGACATTTTCAAAGCTGCTCTACGGGTTTTGTCTTTTTCATGCTTTTGTCCGGGAAAGACGGCACTTTGGCAGCCAAGGCTGGAATTTCAAGTGTGACTTTGACGAGTCGGATTTACAAATGTCAATTACACAATTGAAGAATTGGATAAACCAATGTGACAAAGTTCCTTTCAAAGCTTTGAATTATTTTTTAAGCGAATGCAATTACGGTGGAAAAATAATGGACGTTAGAGATAAAATTTATTTAGACACTTTACTCTTAGATTTCTGTAACTTTAGAGTTATAAGCGACTCGAATTACGACTTTGATACTGTTTTTGCATACAGAGTGCCGAAGAGAATCGAATACAGAGATTACTTGAAACACATTAGAAATACGATTCCGGCCAACACGTCACCGGAAGATGTAGGTCTTGATAAAAATGTAGCTTTGCTGAAAAACAGTAACAAAGTTAAAAAATTTTTAATATCATTGTCTTGCTTAAACGAAACTACTGTGATTCCTGACATTGAAAGCAAAAACAATCAACTAAAGTCAATAATTTTGGAAATTCTTGAATTAATACCAGAAAACTTCAACATCAGAGCTGTAGAAGAAAAGTATCCAATTATGGAATCGGACTCTTTGAACTGCGTTTTAGTTGAAGAAGTAAAAATGTACAATAAGTGCCTAAACGTAGTGAGGGACACTTTAAACGAGCTTAAAACAGCTTTAAGTGGACATTTAGTTTGGTCAGAAAGAATGGAAGACATTTCGGAAGAAATATTAAAAGAATCAGTTCCAAAATCGTGGAAAATTCACGTTTCCTTGTGTACAAAACATGTGCTTTCAAAATTTATAACAGATTTGTTAGAACGTGTCAAATTTATAAATAGTTGGATTGTTAATGGACATCCAAATTTTTACTGGTTTGGTGGGCTTATGTCTTGTGAAAGACTACTATCGACCATGAAAGTTATTTTTGCTAAACAAAAACAAGTTCCTATCGATCAAGTTGGATTTGATTTCAGTGTATTGGACATAAAAGAACCTTCCGATAACTTTGAAGTACCAGAAAACACTGTATGCGTTTATGGACTTTACATGGTAGGTGCCAAGTGGAATGAGCAAAGTAAATCCATAAACGATCCAAAGACAAAAGTTTTTTACAACGAGATGCCAGTCATTTCTTTTGAACTGACTCTCAAGAAAAATATAAATTCTGTAAATAGCTACAAGTGTCCCGTATATGTTTCACCAAGTTTACACAATAGTGAATGCAACTCCGAAGACTTGTTTGACAATTACGTGTTGTCGGTTAATTTGAAATCTGATGTTAATCCAAAAATATGGATCAAACGTGGTGTTGCATTGTACTGTCAAGTAGAATAAATAATTTATTGTAAAATATAAAAAAGTGTAAAAATATATTGGTATACGTGTATTGTGATGGTAAAATAAATGTATTTTAAACAAATGTGTCAATTTCAATTAATTGTTTCTACCCAATACCTCTCATGGAACCCACAGCGCAACTTGTCAAGTTAATTAATTAATTATTTTTTTATAAAGATATATACTACTCACCCNATTTTGTAAAGGAATATTTACAGTAGTTAAAATATAAATAAATAAGTATCAGTCAATTGATTTCCAAAACTTAAATTCTTTCCACAACAGTTAAGTATAGGCAGTGTACGAGATTTATTACGAATGGTATCGATTAATTATTTATAACTAGTAGATACATACTGATAGTCAACGATTTAGACGTACAGTATTCTGTAAGTTGAAGCAAATGGGGCCCTTGGGCCAACAGCTGGTTCCTAACAAAAAAAATTAAATTTGTTTGTTTGTAGAACGAATCTAGGAGTTTTGCCCTCCACTTAGAAGTTTGGACGTAACAAAAGTGCTTCTCAAATCTCTAACTAGACTGAGGTATTGATTTAGAAAATAATCTAGGTTTTAAAAAATTAACTTTCTTTGTACATATTACTTACTCACCCGCTAGTATACAAGTGTGTCTCTTCTATATTTTCAACGTTCAAAAAAACTCGCGTATATTACGAGCTGCACTCTGATTGGTCGAGTCAATTGATAAATATATCACGACTCCCGAGTCCCGATCCTTGGATGACAAACGACAAATTGAAGACAGCGGGGCTGCAGCAAAGTGCGAAGAAGAAAAGTGACACGTTTTTTTTTATTTGCTCATGTTAATAAACAATTGTTAAGCTGATAAGTAAATAGACACAGTTTGTTATAGGACGCGAAAATGTCAGATCACGATGAAATGGTCCAACGCTTTATGGACGTGACGGGAGTCGATTCCACACGAGCTCGGTTTTTACTCGAGTCATCGGCATGGAAAATCGATGTAAGTTTTTGCGACAATACAATTTTTTCACCATTTCTTTTTTTCAGCAACTGTCTGTCATTTGACCTCGTACTGCCGGTGTTCTCTCTTCATATTTATCCAACGAACAATGACGATCATAACCTACTCGTTGACAACTACTTCACACTAGATTAATTTTGTCTCGAATGTTTATAAAAAGCTCTGTCGAAAGAGACTACTATAGAATGACTAGACTAAACACGTAGTTGGGAAATATTATGCAAACTGTATTGACATGTATACGCTTTGTGTCGTAGTTTGCTCTCGCTGACTTTTACGAGAACGACTCTGAATCTGTGAACCTGCCTGGACAGGCAGAAGGCGGAGATCAAGAGGATCATCAGTACGAGGCCGCAGATGATATTAGAAGGCCACAGGAGCCCACGCCGACAGAAATGAAGCCAGTCAAGTCCAAGTCAAAACCAAAAAAAAAATCCAATGTCACCACGTTCAAAGATCTGAACAACAAAGACAGTAGCTCCGAAGAGGAAGAGGGACAGGCTTTCTACGCTGGTGGCTCTGAGACCAGTGGACAGCAAATTTTGGGTCCTGGGAAAAAGAACGACATCATTACAGATATGTTTAAGTCGTGCCAAGAGCAAGCTGTCAATGTTGAACCTAGCAAATCTAGCGGCAGTGGCAGTAGTACTCAGCACAGACCAAATACGTTTGGTGGAACTGGATACAAATTGGGCATGACCAGTAATGATACCGAAGGTGAAATTCAAGAACTTAATTTTCGTGTATTTTCAAGTTGTTTACAAGAAAAAATCTTGAAATTTTTCATTTCAGTAGTTACGCCTTCCTCATCCGCCGAAAGAAGACCATCGACTGGTTTGATCACTTTAAGACTGTGGCAGAATGGCTTCACCATCAATGATAGAGAGATTCGAGCATACGACGATCCAGCTAACAGAGAGTTTCTTGCAGCAATAAAACGTGGGGAAATTCCAACGGAAATTCGACAAGAAGTACAGGGAGGTGAAATGCGTCTTGATATGGAAGACCACCGTCATGAAGATTATGTTCCTCCAAAACCCAAAGTCAAAGCCTTCAGTGGGAAAGGTCAAATGCTTGGAAGGTACTGTCCTACATTTCTGCTGTTAATTTTTTTGCACCTGTTGAATAACGAATGTTTTCTTACATACAGCCCTTCTCCAGCCACCGTAGGAATGACAGTGCCTACAGATCCAGCTGATCAAGCTGCCAATGAAGCATTAGCTAGAAACCAACTAAATCTCAATACCGAACAGCCACTAACAACCTTACAGATCAGATTAGCAGATGGTAGTAATGTAAGAGCTCAATTCAATTTGACACATACTGTTGGAGATGTCAGGCAATATATTACAAAGTATCCTTTTTATCAAAACAATTTACTTACGATTTATCGTATTTCAAAAAATATTTGGATAAAGAGTTTTGCATATTAAAACTCGGCATACTTCTTTAACCGAAAAATTGCAGTATCAGACCACAATATGCACTTCGAGAGTTTAGTTTACAAACAACTTTTCCTACCAAGGAATTGACAGAAGAGAACAAAACAATCGCAGAAGCAAACCTCCAAAACTCTGCTGTCATGCAACGACTGAAATAACGACTTTATAATTAATAGTTTTTCACAAATTCTTTATCAAAGTACACATTAAATGGTTCTTACGAAAAAACTTGAATTTATACAAAAATATTTTCCTCTGTTCATGAAAATTTAGAATTATTAATTAAAATATTGAAAACCTTGCTTTTTCAAAAGTTTTATTTTAATTTTTTTTTTTTTTTCAATAAAACTATAAAAACAATATTTTTTATTTTGTAAATTATATTTAATCATTAATCCCTTAGTACTCACTAAGTTGGGTACAATTTTTGCTTTAAGTTTGATTCATGTGCTTGTACATCTTACATATACCACTTATAATTTTTTTGTTAATCGAAAAGAAAGACTAATGATATTTATGAGTGTATTTTTAAAATACGCACCAATAATGAGAACTTAAAAATAAATAGTTGATTATCGCATCATCAGCCTTTCTTTAATTCAAAGTCTATCTTTGATATGAAATCTTCAAAAATCGCCAATATCACATTATATTTGAGCTAATAATGTGCGTTCCTTGAACTAGTTTTCAAGTTATCATTAAAAAATATTACTGAGCATGCAAGACACAGTAGTCATTAAACCACAACAGTATTGTTTTCACAAATTTATACTAAAATAAAAAATCACACAATCTCAAGCCTCGTATTACACAAATAATGTAACTTAAAAATAAGTAACGAATCGTTGAGCAGTGGACGTTAAATATTATAGTAATACTAGCAGTCTTCTTGTGCAATATAAACTCACTTAAATGAAAAACTTTGCACTATTGCGATAGTAATAACCATTCTTTCAAATACTTAAAAATTGATGCTTACAGTTAATCTCTTCACAAGATTAAAATAGAAACTTGTTTATCACAATCTCCCCTATGGTCCGTTTTTTGTTTTTTTTTTTCTGTTTATTTACAAACATTCTGTCCAGGGTCTACTCCAGATCAAACATCCTTCCTGCGAGGAATTTTTTCAAAATTGTCGAATTCTGCATATAAGCGGCGAACCGTAGAATTGACGATTCATTCTTATTCTCAGTATTTATGGCACTGTAATCATTACAGTTGACGTAGCGATTGAGCATAATCAAATTGGCAGCAGTCTTGAGCGTTAAAACTTTTTTTACGTTTAGTGTCTCATGAGGTTTGTAAATGTAAAGAAAATTGGCGTCGAGAGCATGTGGCGAAGTATATAATTTTCTTAGAACTATTGGAGTTGAATTTGTTGAGCGTCTGTCATCCTTTTGCTGAGTACAGAACGTCTGCGTCTTAACAATGTAACGATTACCGAACATCTTTGTCCGTTCAAAGTCTATCAGGAGATCAGAGACGATGTGGTGGAAATTTAAAACGATGTATTCCTGCCATGATATGGTAGCTGCATACATAACTTTGTTGTACGTTCGATAAAGGCAGTCAACTTCAATGATGTTTCTTATCACGTTCATGTGAATTTCTCTTATAGGAAAATTCCAGGGCACCACTTCGTACGTAAAGTTTGAGTTTTGTGCCAAATCTTTAAGTGCCTTGTGAAACACGGTAGGTATGCCATAATCATAAATAATGAAATGATTAATGCCTACTAATTCATGGAAATTGAGAAAACTTATCATATCAGCACGTGACATAGGAATATTTAGTGGTGGAGCAACACATAGTGCACTACTATTGTTATTCAAGGATTTTGTTAAACTCTTGACTGTTAATATTGGAAAGTTAGAGTTGAAAACACGCTGATCTCTAGGCTGATAGTTGACACCAAGTGGTGTCATGTTTTCAGTGTACTCACAATTTAAGATGTAGCCTCGATAAGCAGTTCTTTCTGGTATATCGCTAGTGTTTCCAATTATCGTGAATGAAAATATCCCAGGGACGGGTGTCAAAAGATCATCAAAGAATATATTGCAATCCAGATTGGGATCACTGAGTTTTCCATAACTAACAGTCTGAATCTTCTTGTCATGAGTAGCATATGTTGAATAGACAAACAAACCGTCATCTAGTCTTTGCCATGCTGATAAAGGCTCATCCAAGCCAATTGAAGTCTTCTTAAATTCTACAATCTCTTTTGGACATGAGATTTTTATTCCCTCTTGATTAGGCTTACCAAAATAGTCGAACACTTCCAAGACATACCTGAGCCTATTATATTCATGGCGGTAAAACAGCAAAGATATTAAGCTAACAATGGCTGTAATCAGCAGAGCAGCTTGATAGTACTTCCTCATTCTTTTCTCCGTGTGCCGATTATTCGTCCTGGTTACAATATCAGTTATTCCTCTCTGTGAATTAATCAGCTGTGTAAAAACTATTTCCTTTTTCATAATACTATGTTTGATTTTTTTAACCAAGCATTTCTAAAATAAAAATTATCATTTACTTTCCTACAAATCTGATTTCAATCGTCTTCAATAACATTGATAAGATCAATACACAGTTACAAATGTTGGAATGATTTTGTTACCTTATGTGAGTTTCTTTTACGTCAACCGAACTTCAAAATACACAGTAAATTTGCTAAAATTCGTGTTACACTCATGCTTCAAGGGAAAGTGTCACTCATTAGTCACTAGAATCAGTCCCTTAATTATTTATAATAAAACAACAAAACAATTTATCATGTGCGAAAGAAATACTGTATTTCTTCTTGTAAATATTTCTAAATAATCGCACATGCACATACATTTATTTTATTTTACTTAGTTTTACTTATTTTTATGCCTTTGACAGACCCATTTAGGGTGCATTCCGCAAACGCGGCCACGCTAGCGTCAACCTGGGGTGTTATCCGCAATCGTCACCAGCAACAGCAAGTAATTTAAGGTTGCGCTCTACGCTACCATCAGGTCGGTAAGTCAACTATACCTTGAATTAACTGGTGCTCTGTTCCGTAATCTGGCCATCAGTTGAAATAGCAGACGACAGTCAACAGCGATGAAATCTTCACTTTTTTCTCGACTTTCACGTCGTCTGATGTTGTTTTAACTGCGCAGTTAAGGCCATGGCCGCAGATTACGGAATATATAGCGCCAGTTTAATTCAAGGTAGTTGACCTCGGTTGACTTACTGACCTGACGGTAACGTAGAGCGCAAATTTAAATTACTTGCTGGTGACGACGATTGCGGAAAACACCCCAACCGGCGTTACCACCACGACCTACGTAACTTTACACGTTTACAGCCTCAGATTTTATCATTCTGATAAAGAGAGCACGGTGTAAGATGTACGTGAAGTTATGTGTAGTAATTAAAGTAATTACTTCTAAGTAATGCCATATGGTCGATTTTATTAAACCATATGAATATCTATATTTTTGAGATCGACTTTTGGGTAAAAAATAAATTGTAAACTTGCCGCAAACATCACAGACCACGTCAACTTTTTATTATCTATCTATAAGATTAGTTGCGGCTGGTTTATAATTAATTAAATGGCTCTAATATAAGAAGTAATAATTATTTGGATCAGCGCCATCTAGCGTTGCGTATTTCTGAGCTAAAAAGTGGCCCTAAACTTTTGAACCAGAGCTTTAGCGCGTAGAGCCATTTAGTCAGTTATAAACCAGCCGCAACTCATGATGAAGCTATAAAATAAAAAAACAGCGATACACGTGTTTTTGGCGGCAAGTTAACAATCTATTTTCTACCAAAAAATCGACCTCGTAAGTGTTTATACTTTTAAAGATAAATTTTCAAGCATAAGACAAATTGTTAACTTGCCGCCAAAAACACACGTATCGTTATTTTTTTATTTTATAGCTTCATCATAAGTTGCGGCTGGTTTATAATTGACTAAATGGCTCTAATCCTGATTGCTCTGGTTCAAAAGTTTAGGGCCACTTTTTAGGTCAGAAATACGCAACGCTAGATGGCGCTGATCCAAAATTATTATTGCTAATGCTACTTACAGTAAAGTCACTTTGTTAGTTATAAACCAGCCGCAAATAATTTTATAGATGGATAATAAAAATTTAACATTTCTTGTGCTACTTGCGGCAAGTTTACAATTTATCTTTTACCTTAAAATCGATCTCCAGAACCATCAATATTCTACATATCTTATATGGCTGATAAAATTGACAATATTTACAAAATTACAATACTCTTGACCTTTTACCATTAACTCATGTAAGCACAAATTAATCAGTCGAAAAGAGACAACTGAAGAAAAAAGGCCTAAAAAAGAAGCACAGTCACACGAAAAGTCTCATATAAGAATGGAGCATTGGATCTCACTTGATCAGAGAAGGTTGGGTTCTTTGTTTACTTAACACTTAAAATTTACATCTCTGTAATAGATGTATTTTTCAATTAGTGAGATCCGATGCTCCATTCCTAGGAGACTCTTCGTGTGACTGCTTCTTTTTAAGACCTTTTTTCTTCAGTTGTCTCTTTTCGACTGATTAATTTACGTGTATATTTGATCGTGATTTACGATTTCTGTAACACAAATTTTGTTATGTACATATTATATAAGTTAACTGTTTATTGGAAATCTAAAGTTGAAGGGCTGTTCTTTCATTAGTTAATGGTAAAAGGTCAAGAGTATTGTAATTTTGTAAATATTGTCGATTTTATGAGCCATATAAGATAAGTAGAATATTGATGGTTTTGGAGGTCGATTTTAAGGTAAAAGATAAATTGTAAACTTGCCGCAAGTAGCATAAAAAATGTCAACTATTTATCGTCTATTTATAAAATTATTTGCGGCTGGTTTATAACTAACAAAGTGACTTTACTGTAAGTAGCATTAGCAATAATAATTTTGGATCAGCGCCATCTAGCGGTCTTTATTTTTTGGCCAAAAGTGGCTCCTAAAATTCTGAATCAGAGCAATCAGGATTAGAGCCATTTAGTCAATTATAAACCAGCCGCAACTTATGATGAAGCTATAAAATAAAAAAATAACGATACGTGTGTTTTTGGCGGCAAGTTAACAATTTGTCTTATGCTTGAAAATTTATCTTTAAAAGTATAAACACTTACGAGGTCGATTTTTTGGTAGAAAATAGATTGTTAACTTGCCGCCAAAAACACGTGTATCGCTGTTTTTTTATTTTATAGCTTCATCATGAGTTGCGGCTGGTTTATAACTGACTAAATGGCTCTACGCGCTAAAGCTCTGGTTCAAAAGTTTAGGGCCACTTTTTAGCTCAGAAATACGCAACGCTAGATGGCGCTGATCCAAATAATTATTACTTCTTATATTAGAGCCATTTAATTAATTATAAACCAGCCGCAACTAATCTTATAGATAGATAATAAAAAGTTGACGTGGTCTGTGATGTTTGCGGCAAGTTTACAATTTATTTTTTACCCAAAAGTCGATCTCAAAAATATAGATATTCATATGGTTTAATAAAATCGACCATATGGCATTACTTAGAAGTAATTACTTTAATTACTACACATAACTTCACGTACATCTTACACCGTGCTCTCTTTATCAGAATGATAAAATCTGAGGCTGTAAACGTGTAAAGTTACGTCAAGGTAGTTGACTTACCGACCTGATGGTAGCGTAGAGCGCAACCTTAAATTATACTTGCTGGTGACGATTGCGGAAAACACCCCTGTACTAACTGTCGGTGGGTTCCGCGTCAACGCCGTCAACAAACTCCGAAAACAGCAAAAAATATCGAAGTTTGTTGACATGGTATGTTAGTGACAGTAACTTTCATGTTACTGACCGTAATATTCACTGCGGGAATCCTCTTCACCCAACACTGCATTTTTTATTTTTTCTTTGTAATTTGTAAACAGGCTCCGAAAGTTGTTGTACGGTAATTTGATATCTCTCTCACTGAATAAGTGATCTACATTTTTAGATAAGAGTGGCGGTGGTATTGTGATAGATTACGTTTACTTATTTATTACATTGATTACACACGCAATATATCGGAGATGGGTATCCACATAAATACCTGTGTAAATCATAAAACTAGTGCGATTGTTCGAATGGTTTATCTTCTACTTTAGATCTAACTCGAGTTTTATAAATAATTACATGTAGAAGGCTTTACAATCGAATCGATTTTGTTTCAATTAAGTTCATATGATGGGTAAGTATATGTAACATCCTTTTGTTCTTACAAGCATAAAAAAGATTTACTTTTAATACGATGTTTTATTTTAGACGTCCAAAACAGTGATTTAGAGGAACAATGCGAAAATGCAGTGTTTAAAATTTGCTGCACACGAAATAATTATTCAGTTCGTTCTGCTAATCAGCTGGAAAAACAATTAAGTTTAATAACGAAAAGTATCGTAAGTTTATTTTTCTTCTTTTTCGAGATGCAGGTTATAATAGGGAGGTAGTATAATTTTTTATTCTTTCCAAAGACTGCTCCAGTGAAAATGGCACCTACTCTAAATTTTGAAGTACCAACAATTACAGAAGAGCAACTAAAACTTTTTGAGAAATTTAGCACTTCAGAAAAAACTCGCAAAGAAAGCTCGAGTAAGGAATCCAACAATAAAAATATATTAAGTACATTGAAAGACTTGGAGTCTATTTTAAATTTGATTGAAAGATCAAAAAATAGCGATATTCAAAAGTGGCTGAAAGAATAGCATTTAAGGTGCTAGCCAATTTTTGACGATGAAGCATCTTACAAAATAAAACTCATCAGCATACTACTGTGTGTGCATCGACGTATATTTTTTTATTAAGTTTGATAAAAATGTAAAACTGAGTATTCGATCTCTATAAGGGTTAATAAAATTATATAATTAAGAAACAAATAAGACGTTTTATTACTTTATATTTATTTTGATACCTATTGATAAGTGCTTGTAAAATTACAAGCATTTTTGTGTATAGGAAAATGCATTATTTACAACATAGTGCCAAATTGAATCAAGTTAAATTAGTATTGGAAGATGTATAAATTTTAGTACGTGTTTCCTATTGCAAAATTACCATTTTATTTGCAGAATTTATACTGATTATAATCAAAACTTACAATGTAACTAATACTTTGCATATGTAATATGTATATGATTACATATACACTTGGATGAATCAAAGTTCTTTTGAATATACTAAATAAAATTTATGAAACATTAATACCGTGGCAAAGTATGCCTTAACTAAAATTCATCAATTAATATTTACATAAATTTTTAACAGAAATTATTTTTATAAAAATCATTACAAAATTTTACCAATATTTTTATACAATTGTTATTTATGAATTTTTTTCCAAGTCCAGTCGTTCAACAGTAATCTTAACACCATATTTTAAATCACTTAGTAGCTTATTCATATTAATGTTTACATCTTTTAATCCGTTTATACTATCACTGGACTTATGCACTTTTGATATACATTTATCAGTTGTACTGTTTTTACGTTTTTGCTGCACTGAAATTTTATTTGACTGATTACTCAAACTTTTTTCTAACATCTTTTGAGATCTTGTCTCAATTTTACGTTCTTGTTTCAATCCACTGTCATTTGATATCAGTTCATCAGCTATACATGTAGGTAATAATTGCAATTTAGAAGATGATCGAGTTGTTCTTAGTTCACTAAGTGTGTTAGAATAGGAACCTTCAGTAAATTTGTCGTTAATACTTGAAGAAAATCCTAAAGTGCTGTCTGTTTCATTAATCATATTACCAGCAATCTTTATTATTTCATCTGTTTTATCTAATATGTCGAGCATATTATTCGAACCATAATTAAAACTGTCGATATTGCTCGTTTCCATTGTTTCAATGCTTTCTATCATTTCTCCATCTGCATCAAGAAAATCGACTTCAAATGTACTATTTAATTCATTATCTTTTGATGCTTTTTTTACTTCATTGTTATCATTTTTAACACTATCTGCACCATCTTCTTCATTAAGAAGCATATCATTATCTACTGTACTTTGCAAATTTTTATTAACCACTAATTTATTTTGTAAAACCTTCTGCAACAGAGGAGATAACTGATCATTTGTAACTACCGTATTTGATATTACCTTAGGAAGCTTATTTGAATTCTTATTAGTATTAATACTATCTATGACTGAAGCGCATTTTAAACGCTTTGAAGATAAAATTTCTATGTCCACAAAAGCTTTGGCAGACAATCTCTCATCAACATTTTGATGCACAAGCTGATCTTGAGATTCCTTGGACTGCGTTGTTTCATTTAGAAGGACATTATTTGCAAATGCTTCTGGTACAATGTCTTCTTCCTCTTCGATTTCACTGAGTTTCAGCTCCATATCTCCATCAGAACTTTCACAATTGCGACTTGTAGGCACTCCACTAGAACTTTTAAGCTCTATTCCTATTGAGCTTGGTAATTCATCGAAATCATCATAAAGGTTGCTTATGCTGTGAGTACTGCTTTCTTTATCAAGCAGGTTCTGCTCTATCCTTTGCACGAATTCTGGATCAACTTCCACATTACATTGGTCCATGTAAGAAACTAAAGGATTGAGCTCATTGCCATTATTTTCTGGAAGACAAACTGGTTCTCTTATCCTTGTTACCATTTTTTCGAGCCTAAGCAAACTTGAGTTTAACAGACACGAGTCACCTGCTTTAGTCTCAACCTTTTCCGAATTTTCTAAAACTTCATCAAGCTCGAGTTTAGTCTTCTGTTCAACGACAGTTACCGCATCTTTATCCTGTCTGATGGTAAACATAAGACCTTTCATCACAAGGTCCGTGATATCGGAGGATTTTAAGTTGGCAACCTCCGGTGGTGGCAACGAGTCGCTGTCCTGGGAATTCTGTCTCGATCTGAACTTGGTATTGCTGCTGCTGATTTTTTGATCCTTTGACAGACTATCGAAATGGTTTTTCACATCATCACTAACGGGCAAACTTACTGGGCTAGGAACCCGTTCTGTGAAGTCAGATTTATCTTCATTCTGGGAATTTGCAAGTTCTGCAAGTCGAAAACTCTCTAGCGTACGCTCGATGTCCTTCTCGATCAGATACTGGTAAGGTAAACTAGCCGATTCGGACTGAGAATCAGAATAGTCGCTTTCGTCCTCGACGTCAGAAGAGTTAGCCTTCTCGGTGATTGGTTCATCTGTCAAATTAGGAGACTCCTCAGGAGATTCCGATACGGCAACTGAAGAATCACACATTTGCTCCATGCTCTGTTCGATCGTTTCCGTTTTTTCAGAATTATCATCTTCATCCTCGGGTTCATGTGACACTTCGTTTGCTCTAAAAGTAGTATATTATTAGGGCTACAACAATGCATTTATTTTTTGCATATTTATTTATTGCAATAGTATTTTAAAATATTTTAAATATCAAGTCAAAGTTGATTTGTTTCAAATGTATTATTTGTATTAAAAAAAAAAATGTAATCAACGACGTTTCGTATTGGAATATTAAAAATAAGTGTTTCTAAAAAAAAAAAAAATTTTCATAATTTTTTGAAGGAAAAAATGAAAATATACCTTGGTGTCGTTACCGACATTGTAAGAGATTCTGAAAATTCTTTGCATCCTGTCCGCGTGCGTGGGGACCATGGAGTGTGTTCGCTATCACTATTTTCTTTTTCCTTTTGTCCATTTGTAAGCATAATATTGTTAATATATTCTTGATCCCTTCTGTTTTCAGTAGGCAAACCATTGGAAGATGTGAGATTGCCATCTATTGGACACAAGGATTTCTCAGGATCAGGTTTCGCTATTTTTGCCCCCATCTCTTCGATTTTAAACTGTTGCTCTTGATCTAAAATTTTTACTGTCAATATAAATGCGTGTGGGAATGCAGTTGCATCAGGCCTATCGCAAAATTTCATGACTGCAAAGGTCTTATCTTGACGAGTCCACGAGGCATGATCTTAAATTTTTTCATAGGCTAAGTCAAGGAAATATTAATTCTAAAATTTTTAGTGAGTATATGTATACATATATAAAATACTTTATTGATGTATGAAATAAAAATTCATAAAAAAATGAATCCAAAAACTTACTGTATATTTTCTGTTTCATGCATTCAAGTGTATTAACTACATAGCACTGACTGATCATTCTATGGATCAGAGGAGTGGTTAAAGTTAGGTAATGGAATATTTTGTTGGAATATTGCAACGAAAACGATTTTCAAATCATACACTTAGAGAGTGATCACAATAAACCAATTACTAAATGCTTAAAAAACCAGTAAGTGCACCTACCATTTATGTGATTTTTTTTTTCAAATAATTTAGGACATTCCCATTATGAGAGTACTTTAACATATTTTCTTCAAACTACTGGAGCAGGTACTACTTGTTAGTGGGCATGCATGTGTTTACTACTAGGACTCAATTAAATAAAATATGTGATTGTAAAAAATTAAATCAAATAATAATTTCAGGCATGAATTGCTCGAATTAATGCTTTTATAAGGATACTGTATGTGACCAGTAGGTTTTTTGTACTGAAATGTTGTCCTTGTTTAGGTTGCCATTTTATGACTCTTCTAATAATTTTCATCAATTCTTTGCTGTAAACAAAATTCGTCGCATTCCTGCAACAAAGATTTTTTTGAATCTTAACAACAATTATACTATTATGTCTATTGAATTCCTTGTCTGCATGGCAGCAGAAAATAAACTCAAAAAGCCTTATGATATACCAATATATTTATCACTCATGTGTGTATATTAGCTTATATCTGCATGTGGATTCTACACACACGCACGCACGCACACATATGTGTGATAGACTAAATTTTTCATGTTTTTGTATATAACATTCAGTTGCATGTACTGACTGTAGATAAGTCTAAAAATCGATTATCCTCGAATCAAGTTTTAAATGCGTGACTCTAAAAAAATTTTGTCAAAAGTTTCAGAAGTCTCACCTTAGCGATTTGTGGAATTTAAACGTGAATTTGTAAATATTATTTTTGTGACATAACCAATAAGAACCGGGAACAGTTAACATTGGCTCCTTGTTCTGGTCTTCCCAATTGAATTTGCCAACCGAACGTACATGTATTCCAGGCATTTTCTTTCGGGTTTTAAATCACAAAATAAGGGGATTAGCCTTATTTTCTCCTCCCCATTACTCGTCAGTTCTTTAACAATGAATGTTAAGTAATATAAAACTTTTTGCTAAAATATAATAAGCCAAAATGAAAAAAATTACTTTGAACATGAAGAAAATTTGATAAAAACCTTAACATAATTAATAAATATACCTCTGATATAACTTCATTTATGAAAACATCTTTGATAGAGTTCCAAGGTAGATATTCTTCAAGGACACCAAAAATAGTTTTTTTATTGGTAATGTGCACTCCAACTGATTCCACTAACAACAGGGCAGCTGAAATACATCATTACTACATTAGTTATTAATATAACATAAAATATTATTGGGTTAAATATAACGTGTGTAAATTTTTTTAATGAAAAATATTATTAAAACTTAGTTGCAACTGATGTAAAGAATTGAAAACTTTTTTATTTTATACTACGTTAGATTAGATTAATTTAAAAACTTGAAGAATAGTTCAATTTTACGTCTTTTGTAGTTGAAATAAATAATGAAAATGAGAAGGTAGTGAATAAATTTATTCTAAGATTAGATTTTCCATGCTACTAGTTGGTAACATGAGTGTGAAGAAAAGAGTTTGAAATAAAACTGTGTGTCAGCAAACAGTTTATCTACTGTGACTTCATAATTCTGATAAGAAAAACTTCCTATACTTTTTATCTACATACTTTTAATCCACATAATAAGAGAAATTTTTCAAAAATTCTCAAATATAATATGAAATTGACAGTATATGAAATAATGAGTGAATTATTTAATGCTGCCAATAGTAATCTTCAAAAAATATGTAGTGTGACTAATAAACAAATGTAGTATAGTCGACTCAATATTTTCAACATGCAAATCGAAAAATAGATATCTGAAGAGCGTGTATTCAAGTTTTATTAAATGATATCACACGATATATTAACTATTTGATCAAAGCTATAAATATTTTAGCAACAAATTTTGAAGTTTTTATTAATTATATGAAGTATTAGGGATTACAATAATTTTTCTGATGTACTTATTAGTATTAGACAATTGGAAACAACCAACTTTCACTTGAGTTCACTGGTCCAGTTGAGAAGAGAAAAATGACAAAACGAAAGTCATGAAGTAATAAGCATCAAAATTAATACGACACATAAAGAAAAATATGTTATTTCGAGTAACTTTTTAAACGAATAATAGAAAAATTGCAAGTATGAATAATACATAAAAGCGTAAAACGTACATACCGCCCAGCTTCACTCTCCATTAACACGTCAATCCCATTAATAAATAACTTCCTCTTGTCCCATATACTTACATGACACTGTACTTACACGATATAATACTCATGTATAGTAAAAAAAAAAGAATAAAATAGGAAAGAAAAGAGAGAGACAGAATAGACAACCCAATAGATCGCCTACTTATTTAAGCGTTTTCCGGTTGTGTGAAAGAAAATATAGGGGCAGCTACATAATTAAACTTCAGTTAGCCCCTTTTTGTACTAATTTGTACAGGTCTTAAAACATTTGTTGAATAAATAAATAAATATGTATATATAGGCATACATATATATATATGCTAGCTCTCAATGTAAACAATCTTTTTTCGACCTCCTGAGAGCAGAAAAAAAATAAAGATAAGAGTTTGGGGGGAGATAATTTATCAATAAATGTTAAAGAGAACATCTATAGAAAGCGGAATTGCGGAATGCGAGAGATGCGCAGAGAGACAGAGACGGGTAATATAAATAGAGCAACCATGTATATCTGTGTATAAATAGGATCTTGTGTATATGCAAGTAAAAAAAACACAAGCATTAAACAATGCACAAAAACTCACTAGTTTTGTTCGTAAAGAGAGCACTACGGAAAGCCAAAGCGAGTCCGAGGAGTCCGACCAAAGCGTAGACGAGTGAACGAGTGGTGGTCCAGAATGCGAGACCAAGGCACAGCAGCCCAAGATCGACGCCAGCCAAACCGCGCCGGCTCTCCTGTTTTAGTATGAACTCGATCGCGCCATTTCTAGTACTCGCGGCAGCATCATCACCATTATTATCACTGTTGTTGCACACGTAGCCGTGATTCGTCTCGATGAGGGTTACTTTGTTGCCGCATATGTCCCGGTAATAGAGCACATCGCTTTTGGACGAACACAGCGTTCCCTCCTTCTTTTTTCCCAATTGACGTCGGAAGGATTGCTGCTGATGGTTATTGGCTTGCGGACTGCAGGAGGACGAGCTCGTCGCTGATGACATTTGAGCTAATAAGTGCAGAATCCGGGTTACGACGGGGCCTTCCTCAGGTGCCCCGCTCACCCGCCTTCAACGACGTTAGTGAGCTGTGACCTGTGACTCTGTGAGAGAAGGGCAAAAGGGTTTCTTTCCTTCCTCTTTCTCTGTCTCTCTCTCTCTTCCCTTTTTCTCCTGTTGATTGGCGGATTGGCCCTGTAAGCTTGATAGGTATAGGTTGTACAGACAGAGAGATAAGTGTATTTGTATACCTATATATTATATACTGCTCAGAAATTAACAAGTTGCACCTATTCTATAAACAGTAGAACAGAATGTTTTTTTTTTTCGACATTTTTTCCTTTCACTAATATTAGTTTTTATTTATTTTTATTTATTTTTTTAATATCGTTTAATTAATAAGGTTTCCGTTTACAGACTTGATTCTTGCTTGATTGTTATATACTTACCCTTTGTTACACCTTGTTTAATTTTTTCGCAATCATTTTATTAATTTTACACGTGTGCATGACGTGCAGAAGGCAGAGGTAAGAATAGGTATATGTTTAGGTATTATCTTCGTTCTCTCTCCTGGCGTTAGCTCGCGTGCAGTTTGCAGTAAACTGAACTGAACTGCAATGTTGTTGCACTTAATGTATATTATATAATATATACCTGTCTCTCACAGCTCTCGCACTGTCAACTGTCTGTCTGATCGTCTGCTTCGTGCGATGAACGGCATTGGATCGCATGCCAGCAGTGCTTCAATCAGCCCATCACGACTTCACGTTTGCATGTGCAGCATCAAGTGCATGCAAACTGTATGCACGCGATTTCCGCTATGCGCTTATCCGACACCTCGATACCTATAAAAAAAAAAAGTTTGATTGGCGCAAGGCGCGAACGTACAAAGAGACAATAAAACCAAACTCATGCATATAGCATCATGCACTAATAAATAAGTATATTACTTACAGAAAAGATGGTGGCAAGATATTTATATGGCATAATTGTATATAGGTATAGGTATTATATCGTATTATTTACGTTGCAGTGCTGCACTATGCAGTGTACAATATACCTAAGTTATGGTACTTAGACAATGGTATACTATTGGATATCTATTACCTTCATTCAGACCTTCAACTACTTATAATCTATGTATTCTGTACACACACTAACTTTTATCGTTACATATAAGATGCTCCCGTTTTAGGTTTTATATATCATCAATTTTCGTAAGTAAACATCAGACGATAAAAACGCTATATATCTGATATTTTTATCTCACTACCGAATAAGTATACCGATCAAGTTAGCGTGAGAGTCTACTCTCGACCCTAAGGTGGACACGCGCAGAATGTTTAAATAAACTACAATGGAACTATGGTTGGATGGAGGGCGCAACTAAACGAATGTTACTTCATTTATATGTTATACGTCCCATACCTATACCTACCTATTTACACATGTAGAATCTACCGATCTACCCACTTACATGGTAGCTCTCATTGTTGAGAATGTTGAGTCGAGAGAGTGTAACATGTTACAGTGTGTAAGGACTGTAAAGAAAAGCTCTTGCTTATTTTCACATTCCGATATTTGAAAGAAAAACCGGAAAGTTTATATTACATGTAGAGAAACTTCATACTCAATAATATATGTATATGTATAGTAGCGATTTTTTAAAGTGTAAAAGAAGTAGATGTTATGATATTATTATAACGATACAGGTACTTCTTGTAAGACGTCTTTGATTTACTACATTCTTAAGGATTTTTAATTACGTATATTTTGCTACTTGTACATCAGTATCATAATTTGTATTATGGGTAGAGAGCACATTCATATATATATATATATACCTGTGCACATGAAAAACGTTTTCATTATCGATTTAGCTGCTCTTAGTCTTCTAGAATAGCATCTTGGATCACTGCAATGTCTTTACACACACGCTCTTATATATTCATTCGATCGTGATAACTTGCAAAACGTCAATATTTTTACTCTAGATTATTATCATTATTTAAAATCGATCATTGCAAAACAGTTATGTTATTTTGATGGATCAATCGCTCTGAAATTCCAAAACTAAATTTTCAATTTTCAAAAATTTTGAGGATATTTATTTAAATTGATCATAGATAATTAAACAACGTTGTTGAAATAAAATCAATCATATAACTTGAATAAAATGAAAGGGTTATAAAAAAAGTATTATTTTTGGGAATAAACATATA